AGCCCCTGGCTCCGCAGGGGGGCGAGCGCCGTATCCATGCACTTCGTAAATGTGCGGGGCGCCAGAGATAAGCCGAACGGGAGAACGGCGTATTGATAAACATGACCCTCGAAGGCGAAATGTAAGAATGGCCTGTGACGGGGATTTATCTGGATCTGAAAATAGGCGTCTTTCAGGTCTAGAGAGATGAACCAGTCCCCCTGGCGCACCTGCGCGAGGAGTTTCCTGGTAGTGAGCATCTTGAACGGTCTCTTCATGAGCACTTTGTTCAAAGACCTGAGATCTAAAATCGGTCTGAGGCCGCCGTCTTTCTTGGGAACCAGAAAATAACGGCCGTAAAACCCCGACTCGGTCATAGATGGTGGGACTCTCTCTATGGCGCCCTTTTGCAACAGCGTCGCAATTTCTGAGCGGAGCGTGCCGGCGGCCAGCGGGCTGACAGTAGATTCGAGCCGCGCGCGCGCACGAGGCGGGCGGCGGCGAAACTGAAGCAGATAGCCGTTCTTTATAATGCTTAGCACCCACGGGGAAATGCCTGGAATGGCTTCCCACGCTTTGGAGCATGCGGCTAGTGGCCGAATGGCTATATCGCCCTGATTGCTGCACATAGCGGGCTGGACACAGTGTGTGGGCGCGCTTTGAGTGTGTGTGGCAACAGGATTTGCACTCAGAGAGGAGTCTATGGGCCGTGAAACAGAGCGAGCAGAGAGGGGACACGCGCACGAGCTCGTGGGCGTGTTTATGTTCTCTGATATTAGAGCGGGCTGTGCCCGTTTCATGTGATGGGGCTCTGATAGAGACACGGGGTATGTTATGCTTGTGTGTATGGGTGAGCACATGATTGTGGGCACGTTTTCTACACAACTGGCAAATTTTCTCCTTTTGAGATTTCTCTGGGTAGCCGTAAAAACGGCTTTTTGTCGCTCGCAAGCGGGCTGGGACACCGGCTTGTTTGTGGCGGTCAACACTACAGCAGTCGGCGAAATAACGGGGACTGGCAGAGGGCGAAGCTTTGACGGCGGTCCGGCCGCAGCGGGAGAGCACCGTCGTTTTCTTGACTTTGCTAGGCAGACTTCTGATGATCAGGCTTCAGCGTGATCTTAGGTCGCGGGCCTCGTGGGGGCGGCGGTCTGCGGCGGCTGTCAGAGCGAGAGCGAGGGCGGCCGCCCTGTCTGCGCTGGGCTGTTTGAGTCTGCGGAGGGGGGCGCTGTGGTGGAGCTCTGGCAGGAGGCTCGCGAGAGCGGCCCGCGGAAGAGCTAGCGCGGCGGGGCAGAAACAAATTCATCGCCTGAGTAGCTTTCTGGACCTCAGAAAAGCGATCGACGATTCCCGTGACAGCAGATCCAAAAAGGCCCGTCGGGGAGAGGGGCGCGTTAAGAAACGCGCCGCGCTCAGAATCTCCCATGTCGGCGAGCGTGAGCCATAAGTGTCTCTCGGCAACACAAAGGCTGGCCATGCATCTCCCCAGAGCTTGTGCGGCGGCTTTAGTGGCGCGAAGGGCGAGGTCCGTAGCACTTCTCAGATCCGTGACAGCGGGGGAGGGGTTTCTACCGCCTTCGGCCCACTCACGGAGAATATCGCTCTGTAATACTTGGAGGACAGACATTGAATGTAGCGCTGCGGCGGCCTGACCGGCGGCGGCGTAGGCGCGAGCATGAAAGCTCGAGGTCGCTCTGCAAGCTTTCGAAGGAAGCGTGGGGGAAGAGCGCCATCTAGCAGAGGGCGGGCAGAGGTGTGCGGCGACCAAGTCCTCGACGGGCGGCATGGCTGAGTAGCCTTTCTCGGCGGCTCCGTCCACCGAGCGCAGCGAGGCGGATATATCAGAGCGGTTTCTAGCCGAGAGCGGGGCATTCCAGGACTTCGTCAGCTCTGCGTGAAGTTCAGGCAGGAATGGAGCGGCCCGGTTGCACGCGGGGGTCGAGCGCCGATGAAAAAAGCTGCCGTCCATCCGGTTCGGGGCCTGCTCGGGTGGAGGAGACCACTCGAGACCGAGGCGTTCGACGGCCTGTGAGAGGAGGCGCATTAGTTCCTCCTCTATCCCGGCGCGGATCCCCGCCGATTCTCTCGTGGATCCGAGAGATGACCATTCTTCACTGTCAGAAGCGAGCAGTGAACAGGAGTCCTTCTCCTCCGCGGCGTCATCGGAAGCGACAGAGCGGCCACTCGGCGGCAACTGTATGTCCGGCAGGGGCGGGGAGGGAGAGCGGGAAGCGGGAGGCGGCGGCGGCGGCCCGCATTGTTCCGCTGGGGGCTCCGGCGGCCTCTGGGAGCGGCGTTTTTTCTTACGCGGCGAAGAGGAAGGCGGCGCGGGAGCGGATTTTGCTGCCAGAAGTCGTGCTCGCAGGGACGACAACGGCAGGCTCTCACAGAAGTCGCATCCTCCATCCGCGAGGGCGAGTTCTGCGTGCTCGAGTCCCAGGCAGAGAGCGCAGATGACATGGCGGTCTCCGTCCTCGAGACGAGCGCGGCAAGAGCCGCAGGAAAAACGAGACATCTTTAAAAAGACACTCGGCTCTTTAAGATATAATAGAGAAGGATACAGTCGTCGGATGGCGCTAGCTTGCAGGGCGGCTGAAGGTGGCGAAGACGGCCGGCTTCTTCAGGGTCCGGGAGCTCGCTAGAGTTATGCCTTCTCGACGGCGACGGCTTTTCTCAGGACAGCAGAAGCGTGCAGCTTGCTGAAGATGAAATGAATCAACATATAAGCCTGGGAGAGACTGTTATATACACCATAGCCACGCCCATTCTGGCGGGCCATGACGCAATGAGCGCGCGGGCGCCTCTCATTGGAAGCGGGTTCAGCCCCGCTCTCCCATAGGCTTAAGCAGTTCTCTCTGAGCGAACCAATGAGCTGCTAGCTAGCCTGCTCTAGGTCTGCCGCAGAGGAACTGCGTTGTGTATGGATACAAATTATGAAATAATTTTTGGCTTCAATATCTCAGCAAAGATGAATCTTTCCCGCAGCGTAAGCTAGCTTACGCAATACGAGAGAACCTCTCGTAAGAGAACCTCGATTTTGTATTAATGTAGGCCAGAATTTGTGCATGCAACAAGTAAGATGTGCATTTGTGGATCAGGTGACACGCGTGCATTCATTGACTCGTTTCTGAGTCGATCCTATTTGATTCATTTGGATTTTGAGACTTTCATTTCGCGGGTTTCGCCCATAGACAGTATAAGAAGTGGACAGAGCCATCTCATTGGAACTCAGTTGAGACAGTTGAAGCCCATTTTTAGCGATTTTTGAGCACTTCCGTTCCTGACGCGCAGACTCAAACCGACTCAAACTAAGCTTGATGACGTGAGCAACCTGTCTGACAGACGTTAATCTTCTAGTAGCTGTGCGTGAAAATTGCCAACGTTAATCTTGCAGAGACGGGGAACTTGAGCAAAGAGTTCTTTGGCGTGAGTGAGCAGGAGTAAGTATTCCGTTGCTTTTATGGACTCATTATCTATGGGCTTCTCCCTTGACGGGACGTCCCCCCGATTGCCTGCGAGCTTCTCCTCCTGTCTGTACGGTAATTTCTGTACAGCGCGACAGAGAGTCGAGTGGTTATGACGCAATCGTTAGCCTATTTTTACTAAATCTGTTTCTACGGGGCCATACTGTAACATAGAAGGTAATGGAGCCCTTTATACATTGTCGTGTTTCTTTAGAAATAAATAATGGACAAATGCCTTTTATTAAAGGTCTTTAAACGCCTCAGATGTAAAGTTATTCGCTGTCAAAGTGACGCCAAAATGAATGGGAGTCAATGGAAATGCTAACGCAAGTGAAGTTCTGCTACAACATGGCGGCACCCGGCCGGCTTCAACTTCCGGTCGATGGATTACCCCCTTGGTTTCGCCTTGCACGATCCACACACAGCTGTCTGAGAAAAGCTGCTACCACTAGATGGCAGTATTCTGCTAAAACAGACAACGGCCGCATAATCAAGCGTTCTTCCGCATTTAAGACGCTTAATGAGAGTGATATTGAAGCACCAAATTTAGTACACAATAATATAGGCCTACCCTATTAATAAAGCATACTTTATAGAGGCAGACATTACATCAGATTATGAACAACACCCATAGAAAACCATTAGTTGCATGTTCAATACGGTATATTGGCTACTGAGTTTAAATATCACCGTCTTACTGCGTTGACGTTAAGCTTTTTCTTTATAATATGCTCTATGGGAGGAAAACTATATAGCCTACAGACAAGAGACTACATGAACGCAACGCACGGCGTTTCAAGTTAATGAAATTTTCCTTCCCGAGCCTGTTAAAAAGAAAAAGCTTAACATGAAATTCTGCATAGCAACGGCCCTGATGACTACTTCATTGTTTGATAGCGCTGTGGTGACAAAGGTACGTCTGAGCTGCATGTATTTAAAGATTACATTCATGAGTTCACACTTACTTATAATCAGATATAGAATAAAATATGCGTATATTATATACAGTAAAAAAAACTGTTGTGGAACACTTTATCTCAACGTTTGAATTACATGCCAGGAAAGTAGAAGGAAGTTTTTGAATGGGACTAGAAACGGTTTAAAGAAAAAAAACGATCCATGTTTTTGGCAGAACATAATAGAAAACTGGATCAAAATCCCTTTTAAAGGGAGTCCCTATGCAGACTGTGTGAAGTGTGTATGTCCCACAACCTAAAACCAGGGGTTGCTTATTTTAGGCTTGTTTTTTCCAGAACTGATTAATTATTTTGGGCTTGTTTTTAGGCCAGATCGCCTATTTCTCTAGAGAAACTAGGCAACCCTAGGAGGAAAAGTTGAGCACCTAACCTAACCCCACAAAATGACTAAATGATATTTTGCTACACTTGTGAAAGATAATACTGGTTACAATATACTGGTTTATTGGAACGATGCGAGGATGTGTAAACGATGAACCTATTTTTTAGTGCATTATTTTTATTTATTTTTATTTCAATTTTTAATCTAGCATATTTGATTAATACACTTATGTGTCTGGGTGTGTGTAAGTGTGAGTACCTCTGCAGGTGGTAGATTTTGTGTGTGTACTGTCCCTTCTCGCCATCTTTCTCGTAGGGTTCGTTCTTCAACACCTCCACACCCTCTCCTCCACCTGTCTCGTTCTTACTGGCCTCCGCTACGGAGTACAGCTGCCCGACCTGATACTGTAAGACAGAGAAATACATACATTCCACAATCTGAGCTATATTTCAGTTATATTTGAACACTGTCGTATATTAATCCTGGTTTCTCTCTCTCTCTCTCTCTCTCTGTGTGTGTGTGTGTGTGTGTGTGTTTCCCTCCTCTTATGTTAATCTATGCTGAATAAACAGATTGGTCAAAGAACAATGGCCTCTTTCATATCTTAATCACATATAATCCTGTAGAGAATATAGTTAGAATATAAACACACATACACACACATGTAATGCAGCACCATACCAAGTAAAAACTACAAAAAGATTTTGCAAATAAGCACAGACAGATAAATGATAAGGGAATGCAATTTTGCAGTCTGCATTGAATGTGATGCAATAAAAATACAGCAAAATAACTGCAAGAAACATCGTGTGCACAACAAAAAAACTAACATACAATCTAAGCGAACCGTTTAGTCCAATTCCTGAACAAATGACTCTTATGAATTGGTTCTTTTTATTGAATCCATACAGCACGACCACAGTCTGATAAGATCCTGAACGGATGACTCCGAATGGCTTAATGAATAGTTCAAAAATACATGTAAGCGGTTTGAATCCTACACTGAACTGAATCCATCAGGGGTGCGTTTCCCGTACAACAACGTAACTCGCTGCTTAAAGGTGCAATCTGTAAGAATGACAACTAGTGGTCGAAATAGGTACCACAGTCCAAATTCAAATATCGGAGATCGTTGTTTCAGCACCTTTAACTACCATAGTACGTTGCATCGTTGAAGAAATCAACTAGCTAGTCACGACTGTTTTCCGAAACCATATTGTCGCTAATTGGTCGTTCAACCATGTTGGTTAATGATGTCACGCAGGTGGTGGAGTAATAACTACTTTTAATGAATCTGTTGAGATCTAATTAATGCTAGATGTTTTGCTATACATTGGGGACATGGCATCTGAGGACTATTTCAAATTTTTCTCAGTTATTTTTCTCTATTTACAGATTCAACCATAGGCTCGTTCTTACATAGAGCACGTTCGCACATGCGCACTCTTCAAAAACGGCGCTTTAAATCTCTTGACAAACTAAAAGGCGTAAATGACATTTGTATGTATTCTAAATAAAAGATACAGATTGCACTGAATGTCAGCTTGCTTATTTTGCTCAAGACAAGGATTTATTAAGTCCACATGTCATGCAAACAGGAAACTATGCTTCTAACCACGGGTCAAGAGCTGTCGTTCAAACCACACAACTTTGCGATGCTGTTTGCGAATATTCGTTAGAACTATGTTTTCGTTAAACTATGCTGATAACGACGGAACTTGCGACCATAGTTGGCTAACGATGCTTTAAACGCACCCCAGAGCAGTTACTGTATCAACATCTGACCTACTTTCTCAACAAAAGTTATCATTTTCGGTGTATGAAGTACATTTTGCGTCAGAATCATATAATCAGCCTACTGACTGATTTACATAACACAACGTGTCGTTAAAGTGCTGATGATACTAATGACGCTAATTTTCCATTTAAAGCAGATGATCTGCAAAAGATGCGACTGAACAGGAGATTTAGACATAGCTAAAGCATTTTAGATTGTTTCAAGGGGGGCAGAGTTACAGTTCCAACATTTATCCACGTAATAGCCTCCAAACACTATTTCATACATAAATATAGTGGGACTTTCTGCATCTATGGTTTAAAAATATAAAATATATTACTTTGTTTTCCAACTAGGGTCCCCTCTGCCATTCCATACAATAAATGTGCAGCTTAATTATAAAACTGCATAAATAAAATAAATCATAAAAACATTCAACAATATACGAAATTTGAATGGTCATGACAATATAAAGAGAGAAAATCTGCAGATATTGTTCAGTAAAATGGGTCTACTGTGAGGTAGATGTAGCCTGGATGCCAGCCCGAACCCCGCCCATAACATTTCTTGGTCGGGAAGTTCGGTCTGGACTCAATCCATTGAGGAGTAATTATGATCAGTCAAAAAATGTTCGGGCCAATCAAATTGCCAGGGCGGGCTTTATACGATGATGGACAGATGGTCTGCAGGGACGTAATCATCACGTTATCAAAGAGCGCGATGACTGCAGCTGGAGAACTGAGATGTATAGATTCCGCTATCGCGCCTGTTGTAAAATAAATCGGCAGCGCATTCATTTTAATAGACGAACAGAAAAATGCAAACAAGGCATTTATCGATCGGAAAGATATTTTTGCCGTCCTTCCTGCAGGATTCGGCAAAAGTGTAACTTATCAGCTGGCTCCGATGGTCGCTAAAAAGATGGGACGCAATGAAAACCCTGTGGTCGTTGTGGTTTCTCCTTTGGTCACACTCATGGAGGACCAAGTAAAAGAAGCAACACTCATTATTTTACTTCTTCCAGCGTGCGTGCATTTAAGTTCTGTAGTTGACAACTGTGCTATGCAAAGTAGTTGACTTACTGCGTTGCTCTGATTGGTTGTAGGTCTATCCAATTGAGTGCAGAGTTTTTTTTTCCTGGTTCGGTTAAGACACGCCTCATAATCAAAGCCCTATGGAGCAGTATCAGACTCACATTCTGACTAGAATATGAGTATGACGAAGTCAGGCTAAGGTAGATGTGTTAAACTGAGAGATTTACTGTCCTGACACACATGCTCAATGTCCGCAGCCACCACTTAGAGTCTGAGCTGAGCCAGCAGCAGAGATTCAGCCTAAAACACCTTCAGAATCTTACCTAGAGACAGCCTGACTGTCTAAATGTGGGTATTCATCCCTAAACACACCACCTATCACACAGAAGTGTATGTGTAACAGAGAACAGGAGAAAGAAAATAACGACACAGAGCAGATTGCCTATACCATTTATAGAATGAAAGATAGAGGAGAGAAAGGGTGAAAAGGAGAGGGAGATGAAGATGAAGGAGGTGACACTAGACAGACAGACATACAGATGATAGATAGATAGATAGATAGATAGATAGATAGATTGATAGATAGATAGATAGATAGATAGATAGATAGATAGATAGATAGATAGATAGATAGATAGATAGATAGATAGATAGATAGATAGATAGATAAACAGACAGATAAATTTATAGGTTTCATGCTACCCGTGTAGAGTGTGGTTCTCTACATGCAGTGTCATCATTCCTCAGCCAATCAGAGACTTCGTCTCTCCTCTCCTCCTCTCAACCAATCAGAGGCCAGTAGCAGTATGCGTCACTTTGCAGCACTCTATGAAAATCCAACCTACATCACACACCATCATCCCACTCACTCTGCAGACCACACACACACACACACACACACACACACACACACACAGCATCGGACAGGGTCTCATCTGCAGCGGGTGTGCTATTTTTCGTATTTGTGTGCCATATATCTATTTTTAAAGTGACATTGCATAAAACTGTAATCTTTTTGAATGAATAGCATGTGATATGTGTAGACTATAAGAAAGTCTGGTTAAGCCCTGATTATAGTCCACTGATGGTGATGGACAGGCTAAAAGATGTGAGCTCAGACTAATCGACAGGCTAACAGACAGAAAGGATGTCTCACGCACCAGCATGCCTACACTGACAGACAGCTTATGGTGTTTGTGTGTGTGTATGATTCTATACAAGGAAGAGGAAAAAAGAGTGGAAATGAGGGAGTGTCACAAGGGGGCATAAACTGCCCAGCTGCCCCCTTAAGCAAGTAAGCTTTCTTAATCCATCATTCCCTGCTGAATGAATGGACTCCAGGAATAGTACTTTTCCCTCTTGCTTTAAACAACATCCGCCAAATAAAACGTGTCTTTAAGGCTCCTGAAGGCAGATGAAGGATCAAGGCTTTAATTCATGTGAGCTTATCTGACAAGAGCTGCTCTCAGCACTCAAAAGAATGTGCCAGTCATTGTCGTTTATTTGTATCCGCAACCATAAAGACTAATAACCAGTGGTGATTCTGGGAATTTTATGAAGATGGGGGGATACAGATGGTCTAAATTTGCAGCAAGAGGCCAAATTAATATAATATCATGATTCTTTGTTCTTGAAATGTGGATTCAAGATCTCACCCTTGATATTGTCTACTCAAGCAATCTAAGAAACTTTATTTCTCTAATATCTCTATTTCTCTAATATTTTTCATTTAAATATCTTCATCAATCCTCCATTACAAATAAAAATAAACATATTTTAAGAGAAAGAAAAAAAAAATGGTTACTGTACTTTTAGTCACATTATATGTTTATTTTAGTTAGTAGTACAAGAAGTTGCCAACAAGTGAGTGTCTTTATGAATGAGTTTGAATTATTCAGTAAAACGATTCGTTCAAAATGCTGATTCATTTAGGAGAGAAACAAAGGGTAATTGAATCATTCACTCAACTGGTTCGTTTTAAAATTGATTCTATGAGGGACAAAACTGTGTTTTGCTGAGGAACACGACACTGCTTTGACTTCATTTTGGACTGTTACATTGGCTAATCTAAAATACACTGACAATGTTGGTCCTAAAATGTAAGTTACTCAATCTATGTTATTTTTAATGTAAGAGCGGCGATTTTTAACTAATGTGCAAGGCTTACACATTGGGTACATAGGTTTACAGTTTACTGCACTTTGTTATTCTTCTAATTACTTATATTAACTATTTATATATACTATATTATTTATATAGTATATTTCACAATTTACACAGCATTTACAAATACTGAAGTGACAGTCAAACTATGTATACTTTGCAAGATTATATTTATTTGGGCAAGAACAAAGTAATGTGTGAATTATGGATCAACCTTCATAAATTAAGGGACTTTCCTTAAAGGGGCAGTTCACCCAAACATTTTAATTCTTTCACTATTTGCTCACCTCAAATCATTCCAAACCCGTAAGACTTTCTTTTATCTTTGGAATTCAAATGAAGATTTTTAATGAAATCTGAGCGATTTATGTTACTCTATTTATGTTCCTCTATTGATAGCGACACAACTAGCACTTTGACACTTCAAAAAGTTCATAAATGAATTGAGTGGTTTAGTCCAAATTTTCTGAAGAGACTGCTATAAAGCAGAACAGATTCAATTTAAGCTTTTATTCACATATAATCATTCATCAACGAGCATAGCAGTTGTGGTAAACGAAAGCTCAACCATGTTCGCTTGACGTGAGAGAACCAATGAGGTTCATTCTCATGTGTTACGCAGCATGTTTGAGCTTCCACAAGAGGTTTGTTCTTGCCATAGACAGTATAAGAAGTGGACAGAGCCATCTCATTGGAACTCAGTTGAGACAGTTGAAGCCCATTTTTAGCGATTTTTGAGCACTTCCGTTCCTGACGCGCAGACTCAAACCGACTCAAACTAAGCTTGATGACGTGAGCAACCTGTCTAACAGACGTTAATCTTCTAGTAGCTGTGCGTGAAAATTGCCAACGTTAATCTTGCAGAGACGGGGAACTTGAGCAAAGAGTTCTTTGGCGTGAGTGAGCAGGAGTAAGTATTCCGTTGCTTTTATGGACTCATTATCTATGGGCTTCTTCCTTGACGGGACGTCCCCCCGATTGCCTGCGAGCAGGGGCGTAGCAAGCTTTTTAAAAGTGCGGGGGATGGATGTGATCAGGGCCCTGATTAAGAATTCAGAGGGCACAATGTAATGTTGGCCCCTCCTTAGGCAGGACAAATGTAGTTTGTCCAAGGACATTTAAATTTGGCATTAACATTATGCTGGGGTAAAGTTCATAAATGATCGTTCTTTCTCATTGTATTTTGTATAACTATGTTGTGTGGACCTCGGCCCCTCTAGGGGGGTTCGGGGGCATGCTCCCCCGAAAGAAAATTTTGTACATTTTAAGGTTAAATGCATCAATCTGGTGCACTCTGAGAGCTCAAAATTAAGAGCTTCAACTGGCTTCGACCCATGAACTGTGCACATTGAACAAAGAAAAAGCATTGACTTGTACCTAAAGAGGGTTCAAACTTATTTTTAGTTATGATATAGAGTCTCAGTCTACATTACATTATCACTGGTGTTTTAGAATGCCAAACATTTATTATAATAATATAATAATGATTTATATAATTATTCCTATGATGGAAAATCCATATGGCCTAAATGTATGCTACTGTAGAAATGAAAATGAATATTTCAAAGTAAATTTTATATTATGCTATAGAATAGGAAAATTACAATACTTTTGTCCTAATTTCTTCACTTGCAAGAAATAAACCCTTGAGTTTTATTTTGGAGAAAACACCAGATCACCATGCTGAATGATCGCGTGAGCAAAGTGCGCACTTTTCTTTAAATCACGCAGCACAAACAGAATGCCTACTTAAATAAAGTATTGTGCTGTTTAGTCTAAAAAACGAAATATAATACCAAAAACACTCGACATGTCAACAAAACATAAACATAACATCTTCCCAATCCCAAACACATATCAAGCTTATTTAAAAACCTCGCAAGCATAAACACTCATTCAAAGTACCTGGAAAAGGGAGATGTAAATAACCATAACCATAAGTTCCCGCCTCCTCAGCACGAGTGACTGAAAAATCACACCAAGAGAGGCGGGACTTAAGGCAGAACAGCCAATCATCAGCCGGTCACACTCAGAGCCGGTGTCATGTTTGAGAGGGAGGGGGAGAGGAGGACGAGCCGCAGCGAGCGCACACACAGAGCGGCCAGAGAAACGGAGGATCGACTGTAGTGAGGCGTTTGTGCAAAACTGCGGCAAAACTGCAGAAAAAGAGCGGGTGTTGAACCCTCTCACCGGGAAAAGTGTGGGTGTTAAAACACCCACATCCCCCACGGGTGCGACGCCCCTGCCTGCGAGCTTCTCCTCCTGTCTGTACCAAGGGGGTAATCCATAGACCGGAAGTTGAAGCCGGCCGGGTGCCGCCATGTTGTAGCAGAACTTCACTTGCGTTAGCATTTCCATTGACTCCCATTCATTTTTGCGTCACTTTGACAGCGAATAACTTTACATCTGAGGTGTTTAAAGACTCCATTTGTCCATTATTTATTTCTAAAGAAACACGACAATGTATAAAGGGCTCCATTACCTTCTATGTTACACTATGGCCCCGTAGAAACAGATTTAGTAAAAATAGGCTAACGATTGCGTCATAACCACTCGACTCTCTGTCGCGCTGTACAGAAGTTACCGTACAGACAGGAGGAGAAGCTCGCAGGCAATCGGGGGGACGTCCCGTCAAGGGAGAAGCCCATAGATAATGAGTCCATAAAAGCAACGGAATACTTACTCCTGCTCACTCACGCCAAAGAACTCTTTGCTCAAGTTCCCCGTCTCTGCAAGATTAACGTTGGCAGTTTTCACGCACAGCTACTAGAAGATTAACGTCTGTCAGACAGGTTGCTCACGTCATCAAGCTTAGTTTGAGTCGGTCTGAGTCTGCGCGTCATGAACGGAAGTTCTCAAAAATCGCTAAAAGTGGGCTTCAACTGTCTCAACTGAGTTCCAATGAGATCGCTCTGTCCATTTCTTTTACTGTCTATGGTCTGTACGGTCATTTCTGTACAGCGCGACAGAGAGTCGAGTGGTTATGACGCAATCGTTAGCCTATTTTTACTAAATCTGTTTCTACGGGGCCATAATGTAACATAGAAGGTAATGGAGCCCTTTATACATTGTCGTGTTTCTTTAGAAATAAACAATGGAAAAATGGAGTCTTTAAACGCCTCAGATGTAAAGTTATTCGCTGTCAAAGTGACGCCAAAATGAATGGGAGTCAATGGAAATGCTAACGCAAGTGAAGTTCTGCTACAACATGGCGGCACCCGACCGGCTTCAACTTCCGGTCGATGGATTACCCCCTTGGGGTTCTTGCGCGTCAAGCAGGTTCGGTTGAACTTCTGTTTATGTTCGCTGATCAAAGTTTATATGTGAATAAAGGCCTTAAATTCAATCTGTTCATCATATAAAGTGATCGTGTCTCTTCAGAAAATTTGGACTAAACCGCTTAATTCATATGGATTAGTTTTATTATCTTTTTATGAACTTTTTGAAGAATCAAAGTGGTAGTTGCGTAGCTGTCAATGGAGGGACAGAAATAGATCCGATTTCATCAAAAATATCTTCATTTGTGTTCTGAAGCTGAACAAAAGTCTTACGGATTTGGAACAACATGAGGGTGAGTAATTAATGACAGAATTAAATTTTTTGGGTGAACTATCCCTTTAAAGGATCATTTTCTAGGAAAAGGGCACTCAAGCAGCCAGTCAAATTTAGCTGATATCTCTTTATGCTAAGTATTTCAACAATAATTACTCTGACCGTAAATAGGCTGATCAATTAAAATGATGATGAAAGAGTGAAACTAGATATGTTCATCCACCCTCGGTTTATTCAACTCAATTTGAATCTAATCTGCTCAACATCCATTTAATTGTGCTGTCTTAATGAAATCAATGCAATGCAATTCAAAAGTCTTTTTTAACCTTTTAAACTCCCACTGGGTGCTAGGAGGCTCTGACTTGACAGGACTTATATTAAAATGTCTCGTCCTAGACATATTTTATGTGACAGAACTAATTATACTATAATCTAAATGGATCTTGGCTGTCAGTACTTTTTTGCGGAATATGCTGAGGTATGTAAAAACCAGAGCAGATGAAAAGAGGGGCCTCACAAGGTTGAAGCAGCCCTTTAATTTGCTTAATCCAGCCCAGAGAGAGGGTTTGTCCCCCAGGACAGATCCCACCTGCACATTTAGGTCCAAAGATACCAGTAGATTACTAGGACATGATTTAAAGAGACATTAACAGCTGGAGGCAGGTAGTCTAAAAGCAGTTGAGGTGCTTTACTGTATGTGATAAGATGATTAATCATGTGACTGGATCTTAAAGGTGCAGTGTGTAATATTTGCAAAACCTGCCAAAACAGTGATCTCCATCATCCACACTCCCGTCATCCATTGTTCGGACAAACAGACTGCTATTTTGATTGGTGCCGTTTGCGGTGCAAAAATTACATTGTACAAATTAACTGATAATAGAGTGGTGCAGGTATGACATCAGAACTCGGAAGACTAATTCGCCGCTGGTTCCTTCGAGATTTTCCTATGGGGTTTTATAATGGATTTTATGCGTAAAATTAAGCCTGTGGTAAACATAACTTGACTAGACTTTGACGTTTTGTTCTTTGACGGCTTTATTTTACTTATAAATTGAAAAACCCGACTATAAAACCCCATCGGAAAATCTCGAGTACCTGCACCACTCTTGGCGTTTGGCAGTTCTTTTGCTAACAAATACATAAAAGTGAAATCTGAATTTTATTTTCTTACAGATCACAAATGTGCATGAGGCTAGACGAGGAGAAAAGCTGAGAGAGAGAGAGAGAGGCAGAAGGAGTTGGTATCAGGTAACTCATTAGATATTCACGACCAGATCACTGAATAGAATGACACGCTAGGGGATCATGGGAAATGAGGAGACTGGGAGACAGGGAATGCTCAGTCTGAATTGAGCAGAGGAAAGAATGAGAGACAGAGAGGAAGCAAAGTGTGAGAATAGCTGACTAGGCCAAAAGCACAGTTATTAATGCTGGCACACACTAAGAGAAGTGATGCATTAGTGGTTCTACACGGGCTGTATGGTATCAAACAGCATGAGAGAAGAAAGATTCATCCTCTTGCTGAGATAAATGACTCATAAGTGACTGAACGACTGTGATCTGTGGCTTATTGCACATGGAGAGGATCACAAAACTACATCGTGACTCTTCTGCTGTCAAAACGAGCTAAGACTGAGTCATCCGAACTCAACACATGTAAATCAGCGATTGATACCACACACACATACCAAAACAATGTTTGAGATCAGTGTCATTATCAGCGTTCACAGCGTGCTGTACAAACACACACACACACACGAAATTTGCACTTACCTCCTCCACAGAAATCGGTAGGATCACTCGACTGCAAAAGAGAAAGAAAAACAATTAAACAATAATGAGCATGTTTGCTTTATCATGTGGTTACATCTCTAAAACATTTCTAGAAATTATTAGGATGCTTTTTACTTCTGCCATTATTTTGACAATTGCTTAAAATAGAACTACTATATGCAACATTCCCATATACTGTATATTGGTGTTGGTAAGATTTCTTTTAATGTTTTTGAAAGCTTTTAAAACAGCAAAAACAGTGATATTGTGAAAAATATTACAACTGTTATACACATGTATGTATGTATATATACAAATATAATTTGCTATTTTGACTAGATTTTTGACAGTTGATTTGGTCACCAATAAAGATCAGAATAATTTTCAATGCACAGTAGAAAACAGTGTTTAGAAAAATCCCAATTGTGTTATATACCCTCTGTTTCAAGGCAATTTTTTAATGTAGCCTAACTATTTTAAGTGTAACCATAACCATATTGTCATTAAACCATTTCAATTACAAATAATGTGCTAACTAGATTTGGTATTGACTTTGAAGTGCTACCTATTGCAATACAATATCGTCACACTATAGCAACAACACTCTCCCACATATTTAGCTATTGTAACTGCACTTATTTCCATCATTGGTATAAGTAGCAGTGGGTGGTAATAGACAAGAAATGTACAGTTTTGTCTCTTCAACAAATGTTATATATAGTGGCCTAAAGTATCATAATACAAAATGAATCTGTTCATATTAGCAAACCTAAGAGCATCTCCAATATCTGTGTACTGTTTCTGGATGGTAGTTGGCAGCGTACCAAACTCTGTGCAGCTTGCATATATAATCAATACTTCTCAGGAGTAAGACAATACAACTACTGCGCTCCATTCCAGCACAGCTCTCTCATTATTTGCCTTATGACATGAACGCACACACCTCAGGACTGTATACATCAGACTTATGAGGCAATCTCTGACAGGAAGCATGAGCTTGTTAGGAGGTCAAGGACCAGGTTTACCTTTAAAGTCGGCATGAAACGGAAGTTGAGATAGTCTTTTCCTATTGTGACACAAATGTGAATGAATCCGCTTTTCGAACAAGATGAGAAAAATGTAGGACGGGACTTGATTTAGTCTATCAGAAATTTACTGGATCGTTGGATCGCTGTGGTTTGCTATAGAGAGCAACAGTCAGGTTGCGGAAATAAAAACTCCATTAATTTTCTCCATAAGGAAATTGATTTTTAATGATAATCTATAAACCTTTCAAGACAACCCTACAGTGAGCTACGAGGTTGTTAATCAATGGTAGTAGGCCTATATGCTTTTGTTAAAGCCGTCGGCCTGCATTATTAGGGCAGAGCACAGATGGTGTGAGGACCCTATTGGAATTGCTCCGTTTATTTCAACTTATTTTTAAAAAATATCATGTTTAACATCAGAATATGTGGTGACAAACTATATTACCCATGATTCTGTACAGAAAATTCTACCAATCAGAGTCTCGCTACAAGCAAAACATGCCAAAAGAGCTCTTAAGCTCCGCCCCTATTCACTACGAATAATGTAATCTCCCTATATGGTCTCAAAAATGTAATATTTGTTTATACATATTTCTTAAAATATGTATGTATATATATATATATATATATAATGTCAACATTTTTAAAATGAGTAGTTTTTTATTTCTCCATCATTTTTAATTCGATTATGCTGTTCTCGATGCTTCATGGGATTGTAGTTCCTTCGCTCACCAAAGCCGTTAAGTACACAATCTTGTACCTTTGTATTTGTGTACGATTTTCAAAAAACTTTTTTGCTTTAAATCAAAGTTATGATTCACCTCGTTTCTGGATGAATAGGTTCTTACGCTTTAAAGGTGTCATGAACTGCAATTTTAAAAAAAATATATATATATAGAATATTCTCCGATATCCACTTAAAATGTTATCAAGATTTTTACATCAAAAAACATCCTAATTTAGAAGTAATAAGCTATTTTTTTATCCTGTTTTTGAACCTCTCTTTCGAACACTCTGTTTTGATGGGCGTGCCGCATTCAAGACTTGGAAGTAAACGCCCACTGCTATGATTGGGTAACAGGTTTGCGTATTAAAGTAAGTAAGTACTTGGAGTTACCATATTTGTAATTGACAATGTATTATTGTTTTTCACACTGTCGTTCTTATAGGCTATTCATACTTTATCCTTTTTTGATGAAGTAAAAAATGTATAGGCCTTCATTGTCATTTGCATTAACCCCATAAATGCCGAAGCAAAGGGAAGAACAGCAAATCAAACTATTCAGTTTGACTGCGGCGCTACAGTTTAAATACTCAGTACATATCAAACGATCTGTATCAGCCAAAGCAATAGTGACACATGGTAAAAACACTGTTACTCACACTTGTGTGTTGCGACATTACTGTCGGATCCAATGTAGTTGGCACTGCATCATCTTTTCTCTCTGAAAAGCCTGCGTCGAACTGTGCCTTGTATAAAAATGAATTTGCAGTAAAATGAAGCGAACAAACGAACAGTGTCTTACTGACACTACTTTAACGACAAGACAAGGCGATGTAGATGTTGTGATAAAAACGAATAAAGAAAACCAGTCACAGCAACAATCGTTCTCCCCTCCGCCATGTTTAAAGTTTAGGGAACGCCCAACTCAGGAACTTGGGTATCAACATTTTCCCAGAGCTTCCCAGTGATAAACACGACTTGAGAGGGTGTTCACGTGCACTTTTTAACTATAGGAAATTCGTATTCATGATAATTCAGATAGCAAGTGAAGGCAGCACTACTACTAGCTTACATGACATGCATGAATTGGTGGGCGGGGCTAAAGAGGCAATGATTCGTCACACTACGTCCGTCAAAATAATGTGACAAAATCCGAAACAAGTAATTTTCTGCACTTGGTTTCAATAAAAGCTGTTTTTGGTCCAAAGAAGTTGAAACTTAAAGGATATTTTTATAGTACAATGACCTCTTATATGTCAAAAGATCAAGGAACATTAGATTTCTCAATTCATGATTTTAACAAAGACTTCTTAAAAAACCCTATGTGGAGCACTCTATTGCTGTGATGTCATATGAGTGACAGGTTGTCCAGCCAGTAAACACGTCATCAGAGAAGAGAAGAGACTTGCCTCAAGGAAGTTATTTTGATTAAAGATTATGAGGCCACATGAATTAAAATAAATAATGATGTGCACACTCTGCACGTTTAAATCACTTTTAAAAAATACTAAAAAAAATATTGATTATGAACAGGTTGATTTTTCTTTATATAATCCTTTGTACTTGAGGGAAGTTTGTCCTGACCATTTCAGATGCTTCATTAACTCAGTGTGAAGTCTCACCATTTATCAAACGCTGTGGTCGCACAGGTGTGTTTTACTGTTTTCTGTTAGCATCTGCTAATAGCAGGAGTCACCTTGCCCTCCGGAGCGTTGCCTGTGTCCTGAACAGGGACTATCGGTCACCATGGTGGTTTCGGTGTCTCATGTACTCGATGACACCCTGGCTACTTTCTGCATTATAAATGCCTTTGCCTGCATGGCTGCATTTCGCTGTATAAGACAGGCTTTACTTATTGTTTCAGTAACAAGACAATCAAGTTTACAAATAGATTCTGAAATTCAATATTAAGAGAAAAGGTCAGCTTCTCTACTTTACTATATAACTAAAATCAACTGCATTCAGCCAGAGATGAGGACATAATAATGTGATATTTTTTTATGATGTTTTTCCTTTATGAAGGTACATTTTTTCTTAATATATTTTGGAACATTTCTAATGCGTTTTATACATTTGATGTCACACTTGTCCTAAAGCCAGACTTTCAATCTTAAACCATGGAAATATCAATCATTGCATTAAAACTATGATCATCTAAAATTAAATAATTAAATTAAAACTGAGCATCTAAAGTTAAACTATCATAAAACTTTTTGATATTTATTGTGTGAAAAGATTTTTTTTTTTAACAAATTACAACTATCCCACAGTTGTGGCATCCTTTACCAAAACCAACCATTTTTCCACTAGCCAACATTTTTCAGTTGTTAGTGTCAAGAAAGAACTTGAAATGAAATGAGATGAAATCATTTATGAACAATTTAAAAAAAAAAAAAAAAATTATTAAACATCATTTCAGGTCAAGCTATAATTTTGTTAAATAGTTAAAAGTGTAAAAATATGACGAATAGTCAAAAGTGTAAAAATATTATTTAATTGTGTGTATTTATTTAGGATACATAAAAGCTATAAAATTAGCCTTAGTAAGACATTTTCAGGATAGAAAATGTCAAAATGACAGAGTTAAGTGATGAATGTTGGATATTGTTAGTGAGACTAATTAAACTATAGTGAGATAGTGAAAAGTTTTTTAAGAGAGTTTATTTTCTAAAATCCCATGCCAGAAGTGATCATAGTAGAAGAAAAGCCCATATAATCTGTCAAATTGCCATGACGTTGAGGCATGAGTGACTAAAAAGGTATTTTATGGCGGACAAGATCAGTAGACCCAGCAGACATTGTGTCTGGATCCTGGAGGTAAACTGGATCAGAGGAAAGTGAGTAAGAGACACACAGAACAAGAGGTCACTGCTTTAGCTCGCATAGCCTACACAAACTTCTGATGTCTAATAAAAGCACAAAAATCCTTAAATGTAGGTAGTTGATGTATAATATGTCCATGGATTATTTATAATGGTATCTCATGTCCTATAATAAGTTTATCACCATTTTAACCTTCACTAGAGTAATTTAGTGTGGTGTGACAAATTATTTTTAAAGTCACCATGAAATAAAAAAAAAGTCTTGTTTTTTAATGGAATATTGATGTATTTATTATAAATGATTTACATGTGCACATCATTCTTTATTTCTTTTTTAAATGTGCCCATGTGGCCTCGTAATCTTGAATCAAAATAACTTATGTAGGCAACATCTCTTCTTGCATACTGTAACATCACAGCAATAGCATGACAATAATCAAAAGCCCTGCCTTACTTCTCACACGAAAAGACGTTTCATTTGGATAAATGTCACAACAGGCAAGAAAAAGACTATTGCGACTGTTGATTTAAAACAACAAATATTCCATGAATCTCTCAAATATGAGGTCATAAAACCTGCATGTATAATAATGAAGCTTGAATTTTAAATATGACAGTAATCTGCATTAAATACAACTGATCAAAACTGAAACTCAAACCACATTCCAATTTATGTGGTCTAATTCTTCACCCCCGAGGGTATTTTTAGTGTTGAAAGTTATTTTTAGTCCATTATTGGAAAACATGAAGAACCACGGACAACAAACCCTGAGGGACCTGAGGTGTACAAGCATCCACTTTAGAGCCAAGAGAACCTGATCCTCTTAAACGTGCCAATTGTTATTATTTGGTTGTTATGGCGGTAGGCTAGTTTCCAAAATAAGAAAATTTTAACTATATTTCATGATTCTTTAAACCAACCAATGCTGCATTTTTTTTTTATAGAAAGGACATTTCGTTCTCTTCGGAGCCCTCTTTATTTCTCAAAACCTCCGTGACGTGGATGAAAGTGACGTCAGAGAGATGCCGGTGTATGACAGATGATGATAATACAGCGGCGCGTCCTTGTTACATGCGTCGCGTGGTAGGGATTCAGGCAGCTCGTGAGTCATCCCGAAGACGTGTGTGTGCGCTTTCCTGCACGAAAGAACACCTCGACAGCGGAATTTAAGAGAAAGAGGTATTTCAGAAGGACAAACATTAGGAGAAACCTGATGTGCAATGCGTTTGAGTCCGCTTTAAACCCATTTTCTTTTTCAATTAATTTTAAAGCGTATCCTTCCCTGCTGAGAGGAAAAAGATGGTTTGCTTGTGTTAACTGGTCAACAACTCCCAGTTTAACCAGATGAACGTGCCCGCCCCTAAGCTTACACAGTATAACCATAGAAGTTTACTCCGAATGTGCTATAGGTCTATAAACGCACGCGAACAGAATTCGGCTTTGCACGAGTAACCATAGCAACAGCTGCTCGATCGCTATGTAAATCGGCATAACAAAATCACTGTCATGTTTTACACTTTATTACAGTGATTTTACATCTCATAAATGTATCACAAAATCGCCAGTTTTTTGAAAACGTCTTTACGATAGTTTGACGATAGGGGCGCCAAAACAAACCTGGCTCCCAGAAAATTACTGACAGATTATTTTAAAGTCATTGAACAATTCACACACTAACCAAAACCCATCTAAAACCAACAAACAGATTTTTTTGTTCACCAGGGATATCAGAAAATATGTGATAGCAGACGCACTGCACAGTTTTGAGATGAAAAGAGAGCCTCATATGGTTTCAGTGACCTTTCTGACGGTGCCTTCTGTTTGTGGGCAGATAAAGGTTATTAATATTTCAAAGGTGAATGACGGGGGAGGTTTGGAGTAGCCTATTATCAAGTTATTTAGTCGCGCGGTTCAATGAAACATGCGCAAGGTGAACGGATCCAGTTGTTCTGAAAATGTGAATATGGCATAGGCCTATCGCATTGCCACATGGCGATGAATGAACGGGATATTTCTGAAAGTATTAGTATAAATACACAGGGGCCATTTAATATCGAACGCGGTGTGCTCAATTCGGTCCGTTTCACCTTCACGAGCGTAGGCTATCAATAACACAATGAAGAAACAATTAAACCCACTCGATGAGATATCTGTTCCAAAAATCCTCTTAAAAGCGTTTAATTGATTAATAATAATTATTATCAAGGCAAAACGTTTTAATTGCACCAGCCAAAGCGATACACGTTTTAAACACATATAAAGTGTATTGTAGGCCAAGGTAATATGATAAATATATCACCAAAGCCATTTGTATATTAAATGCCTGAAAAATTATTGCGATCAAGCTTTAAATGTGAACTGTCAGAAAGTCAAGTTTACAATGTCGCCATGGCCTCTGGTACCTGCGCTGCATGAACAGACAGAGGATGCTCTCATTACAATCAGATCAAAAATAACGCTGCACTTACAATTCTTTAATGAGCATTTTCTCCGGTGCTTTATGCCTTTCAGCGATTACGTCGTTTTGCACCTGGATGAATCCAAATTGGTGTCGAGTCCTGCGTTAGTCCCGGTGTCTTGGTCTACCCCACCTCACCCGCTTCTATGTCATTCTAGGGACCGTTTTTCTATTTCCCACAGATTCACTTCCTGATCATGGCCGAGGGGGGCGTTAACAACAACCCCTGATGCCGTGACATAGGAGTGATGTCGTCATAGAGGAGGGGGTAATCGTGGTAAGCTTTAATGTTTTTTTTCTTTCTTTTTTTTACGGGGACGACTGTTGATGGATGGTCTGACTTTGAAGTGGTCGCTTTTGTGATGTAACAGCTGGTGGTCGCATAGCGGTCTATATACCAGTCAAATTACAATCTGTCACAATTATGTAACGATAAACTGGTGCAGTCTATTTATAGCACATCTGGAGACAGATCCCACCATCCGATTATTTTCATGTAGTTCTGATTTGCCCTCCACCGAATTATTTCTCAAATCACATAGTAGGTCTGTGTCTCCCGTTCACACTGTTTATTTATATATTTCAAAACATGATCCAGTGTAGGCTATTTGTTTCTGCAGTGGACTAGTCATCCTAATTGAGCATTTTAAAATCTGATTTATAATTTTAATAAGGAGTCAGATCATCATTCTCGTTTAATGTCATATAGACTTTCAGCAAACCTTTTGATGCCAGTTAATTCTAGGCCGTTTTTTTGTGTGTGTGTTTGTGTTCTATCCCTTTAAGGACGCCCAAATATGATGAAGGGATAACGGCAGCTATGTAATTTTATTTATTCGTTAATTTAGACTCATTTATAGAATTTGATTAAAAAAAAATATATATATATATATATATATATATATATATATTGTATAAAAATATTACAAATAAAATATTTGCATTAAATAATTGCTCATTGTAGCACACTAAAAAAAATCTACATTAGCCTACTTATTATCACTATAATCTTTTTCTTTTTTTTAAACTAGGTGAAACTCGAAAAATTAGAATATCGTGCAAAAGTTCATTTATTTCAGTAATTCAACTTAAAAGGTGAAACTAATATATTATATAGACTCATTACATGCAAAGTGAAATATTTCAAGCCTTTATTTGTTATAATTTTGATGATTATGGCTTACAGCTTATGAAAACCGTTTCACAATATTCTAATTTTGAATTTGGGGTTTTCATAAGCTGTAAGCCATAATCATAATCATGATTATGATAATTATGACAATTGATTATGATAATTGATAATTATGATAATTGATTATGACAATAATCATAATTATGATAATCATAATCATGATAGTTGTCAGTTTTATGTAGCTTTGATCTCTTGTTGTCTCTCCTGTTGTCTTGTCATGTGTGTGTCTTCTTGTGTTGGTTCCGGCCATGCTTCCTGTTCCATCCTGGTCGTTAACTCTCCTGTCCTGGCAGCCAGTCTAGTGTACAGTGTTGGTTACATCTCACTTATGCCAAGCCTCTGGTTCCTTAAGTTTCCACCTTTGCCATAGAGCCTGGAGATATCTCATCCCTGACTGTTCTCCTGCCCTATTGTTTGGACTGTGTTCCTGCCTCACTCAGTCCTCCCTTCTCAGAATCCTGACAAACGCAAGATGCTTAATCAGATTGCCTTTTTCAAGTAACTAATAAAGTAACGCATTACTTTAAGATTTACAACAAAATATAAGAGTTAATTTTTCAAATAAGTAACACAAGTTACTTTGTTTTCCCATTTATTTTACTGACAGCTCTCCTGTCCCCATGTTTAAATCTGAAATAAGGTTCAGAGGTGTTGTGTGTAAATATGATGGTTACTGTAGTTCTAGATTAAATGTGAGCATGCATTTACTCATCTCACTTGCACAAAAACAGATTCAGTATTCCTTAAAATAAATAAAAACAGTCAAATGCTAACTCAGAATTTTTTTTTTTTTTTCAAAATATTTCCATCAGAGAAAACAACCTTGTTTTTCTTGATTAGATTTATATTTAAAAAAATAAAACTAAGGTATATTTAATTCTACAGTACATCTATTATAATGTTTTCACTGTAAAATAGTAAATGGCACAAATGTAATAATTGCAAATTTTATTGAATATAATCTTCAACATTAATGCCATATAGAACAATACATGAAGGTTTTTGAAAAAACAAACAAACAAACAAACAGCCACTGCAACACTGAGATGTAAGTTAATATAACAACCTTTGCAAGTAAGGCTGCATTGTCCATATGGCCTGTTAAGAAATAAATACATTACACACAACACCAAAACATTTCCACAGAATCCTTGGCTCCAGTCTTCCCGTCAGCTATCATTAGCATTACTAACTGCACTGTAAACTGCACAAAAGGCACGTTTGTGAGTTAAGTTGTGCTTTCTATACGATATTTTACTTCAGAGGTCCATGATAACTTGATCTAACGATCAGTGACACATAAATGACTCTCAACACACTGAGAAATCACGGAATGTTAGTGAAAGACAGAAAAAGGGAATTATGGGTCATGAGGGGTTTTATGGGACATGTGTTAAAGTGCTGTTGTTGCCCTGACATCTGCGCCTCAGCTTTCAGCCATCACCTCGCAGATCAGCCACTTACTGCAGATCATTAGCAGTTCAGTCCAGCCTCTTTTATGTATGCATCTCATGTGCAAGTAGTATAAAAACTTAATACATAAATTGTGGCTTTCATAAAGTACCTATAATCAAAAGTGATCAAATCCTTTTCATAAATACAACATTATTTCATAAAAAAAGGCACTTTGTGTATCATTATGAATGAAAAATGTTCTTGAAAGTGGTCTTTAGTCAATGCAATTACATTGCACCACTATTATTACAGTTACAAATTTGGGGCTATACTGGTTTACATTGAAATCTCAATACAGTGAAGGTTAGTTTAATGAATGGGGTGTTTGGCTGCGTTTCTGGGCAAAACAGCCAACTGGCATCCTTACGCCGTCTGTGCGGGCCAGGCTGGCCTCAGTCTTCCTCAAAAATGTCCAGTTGGCAGAAACAGTGTATATAAATACCATATACTAATATGCCGTATACTGAAATGTCCCGAGACAGTCAGGGTTGAAACTTTACCACATGTATAAATGCGTAATTTAAAATATCTGAATTAAAATAAAATGGTGAAGAAGGGGGATGCCAATTTTCCCATGTTGCTTTATGGCTCTCTCTCATTCCTCTTTTCATCCATTGAGTTACTCAATAAGAAAGAGACGCGCGATATTGTTTTTAATCGTCACTGCGGGTATGTGTTTTTGTGTAGCTGTGATGATATTCTCATGCCTTTGTTTTTCCCTTTATCTGCTTTTTTTCTTTAGCTTTTTTACACAAATGCCTCTGGTACGTCACTGCCGTTAATTTTCAGATAGATTTTAGCATTATTTTCTTTCTCCTTCCTCTTTTTGTGCAGAGTTCTCCTGAAGTACAGCAGGTAGAGCGGTAACAAGAAGCCCATCATACTGAGAACCAGCAGACCAACGTTCACCTACACCAGGAAAAAAGATAGAGAGGAGGTCAAAACATGCCTAACGGGCATTTAATCCATTTAGTATTACTAAAGCTTTCTCTTGTTTGTTTCATACCCAGAGCGGGTCTCCATGCAGTGGTCCCATCATGGCCATGAACAAAGGCTGCTGCAGCAGAGCGAACAGAGCGCTAACCAATGACTGCATTCCTGTCAGACTACCAAACTGAGATGATGGGTACCTGCAGACACACAAACAGATTATGTGTTATCATATTATATGCTTTAAATGCTGCTATTACTGGCAAAAGTAATGATCACAAGCAGAATATAATCACGTATTAGAGATAATGCTGATAAACTCACACAGCAGCGTAAAGTCCTCCGATGGCGGAGTGGATGAAGCCTCTGACGATGGTGTGAAGGACAAATGAGAGCATCTGGAGAGAGATGGCATGAGGTTAAATGACTAAATCAATAAACCAATGTTTATTTGACTGTTTCCTATGGTAAAATTGGCAGCTGACATGCTAGTAGTTTCATAATTGAGCCACTAGAGGGAGATGCTGTACAGCTAAGCAGACCCTCAAGGGAAATAGGTGAGTGTTGCGTTTCACTTTTACTCTTTCTGCTACATGGTGCATACTACTCGCATGGAAGAAATAGTAAGAGTAGTATGCTATTCCAAATTTGTCCACAGCCTTCCTCTGCACATTTACAGAATAGCATACTAGCATACTATTAATATTGCTGATGTAGTTATTGCAGTATTTAGTGTATACTGTAATTATGTAATTATGTGTATACTGTAAGTAACTGTAATTATACAGTTATATATATATATATATATATTTTTTTTTTACATTTTTGTTTTTCTTAAATATTTCTGTTTAGCTTTAATTTATTTTAATTTACTTTTAGTTTATGTTTTAGTAATATTAGTACTATTTCAGTTTTTTGCCAAGGCAACATTTCTAATTTTGGCAATGTGGGTTGTTTTGGTATTCCACGCAAATTGAAAAAAAAAAAACAGTACACATGCTGCAGAAATATAGTATGGTAGTATGCTATTCTGAACACATCCTGTATATTATTGTTAAATTGATACATTTCTATGGACTATTCATAACACAGAGACACATAACACACACCTGAAGTGGGAGATTGGGAATTAGGCAGGTGATGCCAAAGCCGACGAGGAGGATGTTGGTGAAGATGAAGGCACGCGTGGCATTGGTGACTTTCTGAATCTGTTTGTCTCTGCGTTTGGGCTGGGGTTCAACCCTGGAAACATGGAGCGAACAGAGACGCTTAAAACAGCTGTCATTGATTTTCTAGCATTTTGAGCTTCACACATTATTAGTCCATGTCCGAAGTTCACTAAAATGTGTTCTATAACCTACTTGTTGGGCTCTTTTTCATCGATTTCTCCATCATCGCATTCTTTCAGCTTCCAGTCCATCATTTGACCGATGACCGGCGTCGTCATCAAGCACAAGAGTTGCATCACTCCAAAAATTGAGGTGTATAGGCTCACTTAGAGAACAAGGGAGAGAGAGATTATAACACTGTATAATGGATAACGTCTGTTAATAACTACTCTGGTTAATGGCTGAGTTTATGGCACTCTGCAGGCTTGCGTATGCATTACGTCCCTGAGCACAGGTGGACAGGGAGTGGGCTATGCTTGAGGTGAGTACAGGAGAAGGTTAAATGTTAAAACAACAAGCTTAGGGAACTACATGCTCTACTGGTTTGTACTGAGCTACTGAGATTCTTACCCAATTCCATTTTCTCAACTGCAAAAATAGTAAAAATTAAAAAAATATTAGAAGGTAATTAAAATTTCAAAACCGGCAACAAAAAAAAACTGATATGGTTTGAAAAATCTTTACTAGTAATATTTTTCCAGAAAGGATTTGTTTTTTTTTTGCAGCATTCACATATCTGTATTATAGTAACTAAAATATTTATTGTTTAGTCTTTTTTTCAGAAAAGTTTTGTTTTGCTACATTCACATATCTGTATTATTAAAAGTAAAATGTTTTTTTTTTTTTTGACCCCTCCCTCACATATCTGAATTATCGTAATTAAAGATTACAGTAAAGAAAATGAAAAATGTTTTGCTGCGTTCACATTTCTGTATTATTGTAAATTTTGTTTGTTTGTTTTTTCAGAAAAGAAAAAAGTATTTTCTTTTCTGTGGCATATTTGAGTTATAATTAAAAAATAATTGTTTAGTCTTATTGTCAGAAAAGTTTTGTTTTGCTGCATTCACGTACTACGGAGCCCCTAAGGGACCTTTGCAAAAATAAAAATATACAGACTTTCACGTGATCACGAGAAACTGTTTTGAAATGTTTTTTACCCCCCTCCCCTATTTTTTTTTATTTTTTTATTTTTTAATGTTGTTTTCCTGTGTTCACGTATCTGAATTATTGGAATTAAAAAAATGTGTTTGTTTTTTTATCCAGAAAAAAATTCTTTGCTGTGCTCATATATCTGAATTATCATAATAAAAAAAAAAATTTCAGAAAATATGTTTTACTGCATTCACATTATTATTATTTTTGTTATTACTTAATCAAACATTACATAATTAATGTAATAAGTAAAACATGTTTGTGCTGTGTTCACATAACAGAATTACACTAAATAAATGTATTTAGAAATAAATGCAATATATTTTTTCCGGACAAATGCAAACATGCTTATCCACCTGTGTTAAGATCTCCTCCGCTGAGGGCCTCCAAGATGTTGTTCATGGCTCCCATGTAGAAGATGAGACGCAGCTGAGTCACACACATGGTCACCAGACTCAACATGAACAGAGGGCTGAAAATACTCTTCATGAATGACTGAGCTGCAAGGAAGAAAAGGAAAACAGAGATAGTCAAAATGATTTGTAGACCTGTCGACCCATTTATGGCTCTGTTATTGAAACTTTGCATTTGTGTATTTGCGCATGTTTCTGGTCTTTTCTTGTGTCAGACTTGTTCAAACATTGTCACTTACTTTCCTCCTTGGTCTCACACTGCAGTTCCAGGTCCATGGTGGACAGACAAAGTTTCTGACCCTCTCTGGCAAGCTCTTTCTGTTTGTGAGTGTTATCCACGCTAAGACGCTTGCCCACTGTCGTCACTTGATTATAAAACTGCTTTCCTGTAATCTTATGGTCAAATCCCAGCCAACTGAACTTGATCTTGACACTGGATATACAGAAAAAAATCAGAATGAGAGTGAGATATTGTAAATGTTTGATGCGTATGAGAGCGTGGGTTAGAGTTAGTATGTGTGTTTCTTACGTGTAGTCCATGTCCTCGGGTCCAGGGAAAGGCTCCAGGGGCCAGTTGAAGAAGCAGTTGATGAAGACGAGTCCTGCACAGGCCGCCCAGACCACAAGAATTGTGATGAAGGTCACACCAATGTCATAGATCACCTGTTAAGAGAAACAACGCACAATAAACAAATCATATCTAAGAACATAAGGTAGGATTACAATCATTTGATTTCACCCAGTTGTTTAATCTAACAGACCTTGACCCCAGGAAAGGTGACAGCCGAGGAAGCATACGAGCCGATCATGAGTGCGATGAAGGTGGCACGCAGGTCACCAAACATGTTGGGCAGCTGGAAGGAAACATGGAAACAGGTGAATAACATTTGGTTAAAAATAACTTTAGATAGGCAGACAGAGGACTGCTCTGTTGGGTGCTGGTATTAAGTAAAAACTAGTTTGTTTCATGACACACATCCACTGCAGATTTTATTTTGTAAATATGTAAATATATATATATATAACATTTATTAATTTAAAATGTATATAATTCTAAATATAAATAACTTAAAACGTTAAATAAATTAATATAAAATTGAAATAATCCATAACAACCCTGGCAAAAAAGAAAAGCATGTTTAGATCTATATTTAATTTTTAATAAATAAATGTATATATATTTACATTCATTTATTTTATTTGTAATCATAGTATATTGTATTTTTTTTTTCATTTTTTTTTTTAAGTTTTAATTATTAAAACAATATATTTATTTATTTATTAGTATAATATAATATAATATAAATAATCCATAACGATAGCAATATAAAAATCATAAAATTCAGACTGTGGTTATTCAGAGCATCTTTTTACGGTGTGACTGCTATGAGCATTAAGACAATTGACCCACAGTCTTTCTCTAAAAATGTCAGGAAGCAAGGAGAGACAGCCAACAATTACGGGCTTATGAAAGCACAAGTCAACAGAGAAAGCAGTTTCAGTTCCGAGGCACTGACTAGAACCAGAGAATGAGGACTGGGGGTTGAAAGAGAGGAAAGAGGGAAAGAGCAAGTGACAGGACTAGAAAACTAGAAGACTACGAGAACTATTAAGTGGCCCCAAATTATTTTTGAACACTTAATCCACACTTCTTTCTTCCTTCACTTACTTTCTGTTCCTCATTGTCAATAAAAGAGGAATAACTAGGTTAGTAAGAACTGAGGAATGATCCATCCAGTCTGAGCCGGCTGAATCTGAGTCTCTAATTTGAGGCCAAACTGGGGGAGCCGGCCCACAGTTATGCCTTGTTCCTGTGACAACAAGTGGATGAGCAACAGCGAGTGTCCTGTTATGTAAGAATGTGTTTGAATGTGAGTTATCAGCAGCTTTGTGATGGAACAGTTGTGTTTTGTGAGAACAGAACTGGCGTGAAGATATTCTCCAAAATCAATTGTTATGCGACTTTGCCAGTCCATGTACACTTCAAGCAGGCGACGCAACACGGCAAACAAGAACACTCTCATTATTATCAACAACATTTTTGCATTAAGCCAATGTAATGCAAGTATTTGGGGCAGGTTTTGTTTTAAAACTTTCTCATTTTGTGGACATTAACAGGTGTGGCAAAAAGTACATTTTGGACTCTGGGTGTAAGTGTTTTGAGTTCATGGTCATATAGTTCCTCTGAGCACATGATAACCGCAGGCTAATCTTACAGGGTCAGCACACTGAATCAGGAGTACTGTATGCTGCCATGGTGCCAGAGCAGCGACAAAAGCGAGTCAGCAGGAAAAACACTGAAGTAAGATGCACAAATGGGTCTAATGATTAACTTACTGCACCACGCTTGAGAGACACTCAAAAGATTGAGAAAAAGGAGACACGGAGACTTCTAACTAGACTGGATGTAGCAGGATTGCAGGGAACAAATGTTACAATTTCAAAATGAACCACTGAAAAAGCCACGGCTAATCTGAATATCAGATGGGACGTATCCCCCTCAATGTTTACGGCAGTTAAAGCAAGCTAATTAGCGAGCAACAAGCAAATTCAAACACATCAAAAGAGATGGAAAAAATTAAGCACAAGTGTACATTCATGAATAAGTTAACACTCACCGTAAGTGAAGTGAAGGTCATACACATTCCCCCAAAGCCATTAAACGTCAGAGCGATGAAAATCAGAACGGACAGTTCTAGAAAAAACAAGCAGGTGTTAACTGTTCCTAGTGGAAAATTGACATATTGGTATCTGTTTTACTAAGTATGAAGACATAAATTCATACTGAATTGCATATAGGACATTCTTACCATTTGGGTTGCTGGCTCCATAAGCGATCATTAGGCACGAGAGGGCAAAGCAGGCACTGGAAAGGAAGATTTGAAACTCAGAGGTCAAATAATCATGGAAAATGTTCTGGTCATTCATCTGTATTGTGATGTGACCTTGGGATACACACTTACCATATTACACGGTGCATAAGCTTCATTTATTAATCCAAAAATTGGATCGTTATAAGAATGATATTGAAAATTAAGCACATGCCGTCTACCTTCCAAGCAGGCGGAGTTTGCGTGGACCGTATTTGTCCATGACGATTCCGAGCGGGAGTGTGATGGCGCTGAGGAGGAAGGAGCCCACGGTGAAGGCCAGATTCAGCATCTCATCCTGTTCTTTACAGATGAGCCAGCCGTTCATCCTCAGGTGTTCCTCTGGATGTTTCAGAGGGACCACCTCCACACCTCCAGGCTGGAACTCGTCATAATCAAACTCTGCATCATTCGACAATGATGAAGGCACAGCTGGTAACGAGAGGTTTGCCGTTGAGCTGTTTCCTTTAGGAAAGAAGAAGAAGAGGAGAGGTATAAGAGGCTAATGAGGACCCATGTAACTTATTATGTCGGGGCGATTAGGGGTGATACCACAACACATCCCTGATGGAGTAAACACACACAACAGTAATGCTTTGAAGCCATCCTACTGGCTGTAGTCAGCAGTTACCATGTTCCAAAAACCAGCTCACTGCTAATGTGACCTGATATATACAACCCACTGGAGTTTCACTACTCATCAGGTCACCATTTCTGCTAAATCAAGTGGATAAAGGGAGAGTGAGAAAACTCAGATGTTGGTGTAAAAACTGGTCACGTGTGTCCCTGCTGTGAGCCCTATGCTGTGACGTAAGCATCAGGTACTTGTGATTCTGGTTGCTGTCCAACCACGCAGATGCCGCACGTGCAGACTTCTATACCTCTCGATAGTTCCTTGAAGTTCATGACCGGGGTTTATGCACTCTTCGGCCTTTTGTTAACACCATAGCTGCAACGGTCCATGAATTAAAGTTACAGAAGGTAAGGACACTCCAATAATGCCTCAAGACTTGGAATTGTCTGTAGATGTACAATTTCTATAGCAACAAGAACACTGGAAGCCTGAGGAAAGTTCGTTCACTAATGTCGTTCCAAACGTGTATGAATTTCTTTCTACTGTGGAAAACAAAAGATGATATTTTGAAGAATGTCTTGAGTTTCTCTTCTCCATACAATAAAAGTCAATCCTAGGCTCTAAAATTGTTTGGACCCCAACATTCTTCAAAATATCTTTATTTTGTGTTCAATAGGGGAAAAGTCATACAGGTTTGAAATGACATGAGGAAAAGCAAATGATGACAACATTTTTGGGTGCACTATCTCTTTAACATGCTTAATGAAAATGGTGTCAATGTGGACAAAATGTACTTCATATGTTTGTACTTCAAATGATTTACTTCACAAAAAAAAACTCAAGTATGATAATGTTCCTACTTCCTACCAGCTTTTCTAATTAGAAAATGTTTGCTTGACCAGCATGGCTAGACCAGCATAAACCAACCTGGAATTACATCTGGTCTAAACTGGTCCTTTCAGCTGTTCTCCAGAGTGTCTGAGATAAACCTTTACCCAGCAATAAAATGCTTGGAATGAGGAATCACCATTTTGTGGTCTCAATAAAACCCGAGATAAGGGCTGGGAAAGATAGAGAGGAGAAAGCTCAACATTTGCTCTTCCTTTATCTTGTTCTGCTGCAGGAACAATGTTAATAATCGTCCTTTTGGACTATTGTACAATCCTGTTCCACATTATCTCACAACGCATATACATATTCAAACTACTGATACTGAACCAGGTGACACTCAATTAATAGCTGCTGGCTCACTGGAGACATATAAAGTAGATAATCAGAGCTGACCTTATACTAATCTGTTTTTCCATCTTAACTGCTGATGAGTGATAAATGAATGTTTCTCTGAAAAACACAAAATGTGGTAGCAAAAGTACACTTTTGAGACATGTGAGTTAATTAGACAAAACCTGTCTTTCAAAACTTTAAAGCAACACCAAGTAACTTTTCCTCTGCGGTCGCCCTACAGGTTGGAAGCGGAATTGTCCATTACCGCTGTTGTAAATAATTTAGCCTAACGCAGCCTACTGTCGCACGCACGCTCGTTGTTTATCCAGCACCGGCTTTGGAATGAACGATGTCCACAGACAAGATAGAGTATGTTGCATGATTTCATGAAAGTATGATGTATTGCGACATCAGAAACGAAGAAAAACAAAATAATGACTATTGTAACGCTTGACGTAAAGCAAGTCAAATTTGTAGTTTTCTTATGTCTCATTAGAACTACAGAAACGCGACCCGATCTGGCAATCTTACATAGTGTGGTTATAGCAGATATAGGACCACAAAGCGGAGGCCTGTTACGACTTGATGAACCACTGAAACGAATTTGGAAACATTATTTTAAGGTAAAAAATCGTCCTAGTGTTGCTTTAAGATATCGCAATGGCATTCACAACTAACAGGGAATTTCTGTAAAACGTTGGCTAATATTCTGACAAGGTTCTCTCAACATTATGGACAAATGTTCCACCAGTAATGTAATTAAAACGTACGTTCAAAGTTATCTGGCCCAAAGATGCACCAAACATGGTGTACGTATAGGCCACATTAATGTGCAAATGGCTGCATATTGCAGGACAAACCCGGGAAGATAGCAGTCACAAAGAAAAATCTGATCTGAAAATCTGAATATGATTTTTCATCTGATCCTTCACCTTTTTTTCTGACGGGCTGACAGCCATGTGATGCATTTGTGAGTCTGAGTGTCACATAAAATTGGTTGTTTTTTTAAATAAAAATTCTTTAAAATGTCCTAAACCTTTGGAAATGGCAAAGTACTGACACTAAACACTCAAACAGGAACGTTGACATTTTAACATATTAATATAATGATTTGGAGACAGATTAGGGAGTGAAAACAAGGAGGGGTTGTTCTTTTCATTCACAGCCATTAGTTTGGGGGCCAGATCTGATAAAGTGTAAGGAACAGACACACAGTACAAATTGTCTCTAACCTCATTTCAGAGAAAGCTTGAATGTGATAAAAGAACTGTTATCAAGCCAACTTAAAAGATTACATGATTGGAAATCAAAGTTAGTGTACTTTGCATGCTTCACATCCTTCAAAATGGTCAAGAATAATGAATGCTGACTAATGCCTCATGACACTGTCCTTTGAGTCTTATCTGTGGACTTTAAGATTGCTGAATACTGTCTTGTGCACTGACGATTTTCGCTGAGACAGTCTTATTATGCCACAATAATGTGACTGACCGAAAGGACAGACAACAGCAGATGTCAAAAAACAGGAACTTCTATGACAGCAGCAAAAAGAAACGATAAGCACTTTCCCATGCAAAAAAAAAAGAAGAAATTCCTGCCAAGCAGACAGACAGACACGTAAGATGCCCACCACTCCACCCAGAAGAAGTGGTATTCCTAGATCTACCCAAACGATAAGCCTCCTACTGTTTCCTTCACAAACAACTCTTTTTCTCGTCTTCTGCCCCTCCTCTACCCCTTTTCTTCTTGTCTGCCTGGGAATTTCAAACTAGCTTTTGTGGTTAAATAGGTTTCAATGTCCTCATGTTCTATTAAATCTAGTCCAAAGTGGTTGAGAAAGAACAAGACAGTGATAAAAGGTCATCAGCATACACAGCAAGGCCAAAACATGTTCTGTGATGCAAATCAATACCAAAACCAGTTCAATCAATCAATTATGAGCTAACCAGTAGGTCTGAGGTGAACTGACTGAAAAGATAAACATTTGAATTGACATCTAACAGGCTGTAGGCCTCTCGATTTAAAGGAGCACTTGATTAAGCCCGGATCCCTGTGGAAAACCCTTCTACATTCCAGTGTTTTACTGAGCAACCGTGACTATACCAGCTGATTTAATGGAAGTCTGTGGTAGTGTCTGTGGTTGTGAGGCTCCTGTGGGAAGACGTCATTCCTCCTCCTTAGAGAAAGTAAGCACAAAAGTGTTTTTCTGCAGAGCGCAATCAGTTACACCATCATAAAACGCTTCTGTCAGTGATCTATTACTGCACAATACAAGTGACTTTAAAAGTAGGATCCTGCGAGGACTATCAGACACAGTGTCTGTGAGCTTTCAAGATCAGATTGGAATAATGGAAGTTGCCAATATGCACACTGACCAATAGACAAAACACAATCAGGCATTACTTTAAATTATTTTATAGACATGATCACAGGCTTGGCTTGCAGCGCATGTGAACTAAATGTTCCTGAATGACTTCTAAATTGCTGCACAGGTTTCTTGAGTTCTTGTTCTTCATGTTACATTGCTTCTTCAGAGCAGTGCATTTGTTTCTGGGTTACTTCAAACACCCTTACATAAAATAAACACATTCTTTGTGAAATTTAAAAAGGTTCTGTGGCATCAGATTGGTAAACCCTTTTTGAATCCGGGTGGAAGAGTGACTCTTACCTGGTTCCATGCAGAGGTATGAATAGAAGCCTTCAGACTTCAGCATGATGAGTAAGGAACCCCAGCCCAGCAGAACAGCGGAGAAGAGCAGATTTTCAATAATGGCCGTTACCGCCATCCACCAGCGGCGGGCAAATGCTGTGGCTAGAGTGGGTGCCATGGCTGGAGGGAGTAGGAAACCAGACGGATAAGAGGAAAAGGGTGGTTGACAGTGTCTGGTGGGATGAGACCTAACAATCTGTGGATGAAGAAGAGAGAGAGAAGTGTGTTGGAGTCATTTTAATGGAATGATCAGGTTTGCATGTGAGGAGGATGCTGTTATAAATAAGTCTGCATTTTTTTTAGGGTAACACTTTAGAATACTGTTCCTTCATTAATGAATAAATACACAGGAACAAATGAGTAACGCACTATTAACATTCTAGTAACTACTATTAACTAACAAGAAACTCTGATTAACGAATTAGTAAGTAATAGCGATCAGTTGAATGTGGTAGTTCACTATTAGCTAATAATCAGTAACTACTATTTTTCATACCTCCCAGAGAACTACTATATACAGGTTCATAATTAACACGAATAATGCATAAAAGTTAACGGTAACCCACTAGTAAGGACTCAAGTGTAGTTTTTAGTTTTTGAACTCTTATTAAAATGTGCAAATGGTCAATTGATACTCACACCTTCTTTGTTATGTATATCACTTTCAAAATCACTTCTTTCAAACTCAGTTGGCTCTTTTGCATTACAGTGCAAGAATAGTGACAGGGAGGGGTGCCAAAACTTCAAAATTCACATTACAACAGACCCCAACACAATGTTTCGATGCAAAAAGATTGCTAAGTAGCCTAAATTGAATTTTGTGACTTGTATATCAAACACACACGCATTATTATTCAAAGGTCATCACTATTTGTAACGCAACAGAAAAATAACTGATTTTGTGTGTGAAAGAATAATACTCAACACTATGGTGGCCCCTCTGTAATCTTTGACCGAAAACATTTTTTTTACTTCACCGGAATGGTACGAAACTTGGTAAAGGTTTTGGCACTTGCTATGTGAACACACATGAAAAATCATGATTTGAAAAGGTTAAATGGTCCTAAACACACTTGTGCTCCTCGGAAATGGATAGGAGACAAATTTCATCTAGTGAAATCTTGGTAGGCTACTGCGGCCAAACAAAATCTTACTGAAAGCTCATTTTTTGAGATTTCAGGCTCAAATTTGGAACACAACTTGTTTAGATTTATGGCTTAGACTTTCTTGCAGTTTTAGAGTAAAACTTGTTTTTGAAAATATATATTTCATATAGAAATTAAAAAATAGTATTTTTGTCAATTGTTCATAACAATAAACATAAAATTCTGTAACTTTTTTAGGTTCAAACTTTTTTCACTTCAGCAATAATTTACCATGTGTCGTATTTAAAAAGACATCACACCTAAGTCTGTGCTTTAAAACATTCAAGAACTACGACAGTTTAAGTTTATAATTTTCAGGTCAATGCTCAAAACGTGAATAAATGTATTATAAATACTGCGTAAATACAATGTAGTACCATAAAATCCCCTAAAAATATTAAATAACAAACATTATCAAACTAAATAGTAGGCCTACATTCCTTTCATTGAAAAAAAAAGTCATTTTTACGCCACGCGAAGAGCACCAGAGGGTTAAAATGTAACAATCCAACTAGTCATATACTGCATTTGTTCAAAATAAACTATAATATAAATACAAAATATATTAATAAAATAAAGAACACATACCTTTGAGAGAAAGGCAAACAAGTTATTTAGTGCAGACTAGTCAGCTCCCCCTTGATGCCTTTGCTCTCGCTTCCCCCTCTCTCTCTTTCTCCTGCAGTTACCGGCACTTTCTGAGAATTTGTTTCAGGGCAACTGTCGAATTTATAGCTGTTTCATGTGAGAAAGCATCAGATCGTTTCTATTGGCTGCATCGGGAGGCTGAGTATAACTGTCAGCCAATCAGCGGCGAGTCTCGCGCTGCACTGGAAAATCACGGGCCGTCCACAGGTGATCCTACAGATGTGCGTTTGAAGGAGCGAGTGAATTAGGCTTGACGTAGTGTAGGAAGTAGTTTTTAGATTTGCCGCCTCAGTAAACGTGGGATCCTTTTATCATAAATGCTGAAATCAATTTTTTTCGACTGAGTTAATTGATTATAGTGTATTTCCTAAACGGCAGATTAGACATAACAGCATGGGAAGTGAAATATGAAGATGAGTCAATCTCTTATTACAGCTACCCAGGTAATTATTCGACATAAAACTACGTATATAACGTAATTGTGAACTTGTTTTTATGTCACTGTGAGGAGAAGAGGTGATATGCTGAATTGCAAAATGTAGCTAGATAAGACTGCAAAAACAAAGAAACAACCGTTATCTTCAGAAGTCAACAAAAACAGCTCGAAGTGTCTGAAATAGTGACTAAAGGATGTTACTTCATACACGATACTGTTTCACTCACAAACCACATCAACTGGAAAAATAAAATGGTACCCGACAAACATAAATCCGTCAAGCCAGCTACTGATTTTTTTCTTTCTTTTGCCAAAAATATGCTGTTTATTGTTTTGTTCGTGTCATAAACATCAGTACACTCTAGGGTTACCACCTATGTCTGATAAAAAACCGGGACATATTACCCGCCCAACTGGGGGGGGGGGGGGTGTTTGAAGACCAAAAATGAACGGTTGAACACCAAAATTTAAATTTTAACTGTAGGCCCGCCTATACACCAAATGCTGCGCAAAAATATATCCTATATTCGCGTATTTTCAGATTTTTGTTCATGATTTTTTTTTTGCCCCTTTAATAAGCATTTAAAATATTCACAAATTATATGGATAAAATGGTTTTCTAAGGCCAAACACTATATTTCTAAGGCTATAGATGATTTATAGGCTATTATAAATGTTTCTGAAAAAGTAACGAGGCATTTTAATTGTTTATTAATAAACTAGTATTTTCTAAATCGGCTGCAACATATCTCCATCTCCGCTGTAAAGCAGATGCGCCTTTAGAGAAGAAATTCATATGGATTACATAATCAGACTGTATTTTCTTTTGATTCGAATTTGTTCGTTTAAAAGTGGACATTTCAAGCTTTAGCCTATGGGCTTGTTTATTTTGAGACGCGATCCAGTTCACGGAGACCATAAAAGAGCGCGACTGATTGTTTTATTTTATTTTACAAAAGCACAACGTTTTCTTGTTATTGTGAGTTTACACAAATAAAAGTAGTTGCGAATGATGTATTGTTGCGAATGATGTTTATTTTCTATGACCAGAAATGATAGAGTAGTAGGCCTATTTTAAGTTGTTTCCACTGTTGATAGAAAAACGGAAGTGCTCGCGCCCGCGCCTCGTGCAGCAAGCGCGCTCCACACTCAGATTACATGCGCTTCTTATGCGCTTCTTGAGGCAGACTCGACTCACACTAGCACACACACGCAAGGTCTCTCGCTCTCTGCCGTTGCGCGCGCTACACAGTTTGAACATACATATTCACGTAGCCTTTCGAAAACCGGGACATTCAGTGTCCCGGGAGAGTGCGTAAATTTCCCGGGACAGGTTATTAAAAAGAAGGACAATCCCGGTAAAACCGGGACAGGTGGCAACCCTAGTACACTCCCGGTCACCCGGGTCACAGGAGATACCGGGTGTTAATCAGACTGTTATCCTCGAAACACGTCGCCCTCGTGTTATTTACCAGAATAGTGTTCTCGAAAACCCGCACTGACAGGCGCAAAGCAGTGACTGGGTATTACTCAGGTATTACTTTCAATCTACTTATAAACCTTGATACAAACATGAAACTATTCTCTACAAACAACCTTTCAAACTGCTGCAGGAACAGAAGTCTGGTGTTTTCGATTAAATTATTGCATAACAAAATTGTATTGATCACCCTAATCACCAAGACTATATCAGTATAGCTGTCAGACACACACACACACACTAATCATGTTAAACATACAGTCTGTTAACCGTTTACAGCAGGATATATTTGAATAAATAAGCTATTAAAATTAATCTATTTTCATGAACAGTGGCACATTATTCACTTTAAACAACCAATGATTAATGGAAGAGAAACCATGTGTTAATGAGCTTGTTTATTTGACTGAGCTTTGCATTCTTTCCTATAGTGAGCTAATGGCCTGTTTCAAGTATGTGATCAATACCTCTCTTGCTTTATCACTGTGAAGAGTAAACGCTTGATCATGGGGTTCAAGCCTATTATCTTTGCCAAACAAAGCATAGTTTTGATAAGCAAATTGGAACCATTCACAGATGTTGACTAGAAGTTACTTAAAGACTTTAAAGTCAAATGTTTACTGACAAGGTTCACTTCTTTACATCATAATCCTCAACTGGGCACAGGTTACTTAAAGCCTACGTGATAAACTACATTCATTTGAGAGTTCCAAGCTTTGAGCTCAAAATGAGCACATCAAACGAACTAAGAGGAACAAAAACAACTGCTCACCCAGTTATATAAGCTCCAATCAGCTCACACTTGTTTTTCACTTTAACACCATTCTCTGTGGTTTCAGTTCCTTTTCACATTGGCCTAATGGAGCCTTGTAAAATTCAGGACTTTTCTTTTCCTTTAACAACAGTAACAGTAAGGTAGATCTTTATCCTAAGACCTTCAAATGAAACTGAAAGCGAATGCTTATTAACATATCTTTGCCCCAGGGTGTTTAAAAAGGACATTCTCTCACTAGGTGGTCTTGCAGTAAGTTTCACATTTGAATGTTGATAGTGGTTTTATTTTGATTTGGCTGTAACTTCAGAATTACACATAAGTAAGCTATTTAACTTTTTTCTTTTAATTTACAATACCGTTAATTTTTTTTGGGTCAGTATCATTTTTGAAAATAATTTTATTTTCATAAATTTTTTTTAATTAATTATTAATAATTAATAATTAATTATTATTAATTAAATTTTTTTAAATTAATCAAAAGTGAATCATTTTCATTGTTACAAAATGTTGTTCTTTTGAACCTTCTATTCATTTAAACAATCTTGGAAAAAGATTTCAAGGTTTCCACAAAAATATTAAGCTGCACGACTGTTTTAGCAAGCAAATTTAGCAGCAAATCAGCATATAAGAATGATTTCTGAAGGATTATGTGACACTGAAGACTGGAGTAATGATGCTGAAAATTCAGCTTTACCTCCATCAAAGGAATAAATCAAATTTTGAAAATGTATTCAAATAGAAAACATCGATTTTAAATTGTAATAATATTTTACAATATTTCTGTGTTAATGTATTTTTGATCAAATAAATGCAGACTTGGTGAGCATATAAGAGACTTTTTTTAAATCATTTAAAAAAATCTCACTGGCCCCTAAACTGTTGAATGGTACAGTGTTAGAAATAAATCAGTTGAAAGTGATTAAGTATAGGCCTATGTCCACCGAAAGATCACCATATCAGCCTGAGCATGAATGTTGTGACCAGTAACCAAAGGATGCTTAAACCTCTCTTCACAGTGCCACCACCTGGAAAAGAAGAACCACAAACATCACATCACTAAACAGTGGGTGAGTCCACTTTTATGAAATAAAGTAAAAGCATAACAGACTGAGCCAATAAACCCCTAAAGCTGTAGCTCACCTGATCGAGGTTTGATGGTAAATGTTGTTTCCATTCCAGCACGGATGTGGTTGGCAACGTGACAGTGCAGAAGCCACGTTCCATTGACCTCTGCCACCATCTCCAACGTCTGAAATGCTCCTGGGATCAGGTCATACACATCAGTACGGTGAGCCTGATCTGTCTGAAAAAGCAGTTTAAGTCATTATAATGGTTGGGTTTCACGAGTTCACACGTACATATAATCAGATAAAGAATATGCATATTTGGGTATTTGCATGCTGTCCGAGAGGGGGGCTCCAAGTTCGGAATTTGGCCCGAACCCAGAGTATTCCCCCCATATCCAGTTAAGAGAGGAGGGGTGTAGGAGGGATGCTGGAAAAACTGGTGTGTGACAGAGGTGAGTCATCTATATACTGTATATACTGTGTATATATAGTATATAGGCCTCCTCTCGTGCTGATTGGGTCGATTATCTGAACATGCTCCTCCCGAACTTTGTTAATAAAACATCATTTAGTGTATGAAAACTACAAAACACACTGCTGTAATATAATTGAAAAATAATTTATTCTATTGCATCTGATTGTGAATATAATTGCATATATAATAGTTGTTAAAGGTGACCTATAATTCAAAATTGAATTTACCTTGGTATAGTCAAATAACAAGAGTTCAGTGCATGGACATGACATAGAGTGAATCTCAAACTGGACTGTTTTCGCGTTCTCATTTAATTCACGTTTATGAAAAACACCCCTGAAAAACGGTCGGTTCTCCACACAATACCGACTGTGACGCAATAGTCGGGATCATTAATATGTACGCCTCCAAATATTTGCATAATGCCAGCCCTCAATGCCAGGCGGAACTGCGCAGCCGAAGCATGGCAGTTGCTCAGTGTGGATGTACACATGAACACAAAAGTATTTTTTAGTTCCTTCATCTGAGCCTCTGAAGAAACAATGGGTTAATTTTATTTTCTCTGGAAATTTCCAAACATTTCACCGACTGTTTCCTCAACTTGGGCCAATACAGAGCTGGCCTCGGATCGAGCTACCAAGCTGATGTGTAATTGTTCAAGTTCAGACAGGTAATCTTTCTCTCAAAATCGTTCAATACTGTTTATGCATCAGTAAGTCAAGCCAGTGACTAAAATATCAGCTTCACATCGTTTCTTTTAGTAGGATGAAAATAATCGTATTTAAATTGTGAACAAATTATATACAGAAAGCGATCAAAGAACAATCTTTCCACACAGCGCGAGTTTATCTGGACACTTGCCAAACTCGTTATGAAATCAATGACGCACGTTACTGCACAACGAAGCTCTTACTGTATTTACATCATCGTGTTTGCATTGGGGAAAGCCTTAGAGAGTGCAGAAACTGCTTTGCAATGATAAGATGTTCATTCTCGCGATCAACACACTGTCATCTGCTCAATGCTCATCACGGCAACATTTTATGTGATGGGAATACATCTAAATACTTTAAAAACATCTCACGATTCGTTAATCTCGATAGCTGTTATAGTAAAAACGTATAATAGCAGTAGTAAAAGTATTCGGGAGAGACTTTCACATGTAAGCCAATCACAGCAGTGGCCGCGGTTCCACTGAATCCCACAGCAGACACGCCCCTTCAAACAGAGTGTTCAAATCAGAGGCTAAAAGCAGGCTAGGAAAAATGCCATTTATTTCTAAATTATGATTATTTTTTATCTAAAAAACATACTAACATTATAAGGGTAACCCAGGAAACATTATAAAATAATTAAAAAAAAACATTCTAGGGCACCTTTAAGCTCATTGCTGCACCTTGTATGTGAAGGTCTCAGCATGAAAATGGACGGTGTGTATGTCCACTTCATTGCCCATCCCAAACAGGTACCAGATCACCCGGTCGCCCTCCACCATTTCCAGGCCATGAAGGTTTGCATAGAGCTTCCCATTGATTCCTGTCAAAAGTGACAGAAAAAACATGCAGTTTGGAATCATGTAATTCTCTGAGACAAAATGAGAATTGTGTACAGTGATTATTATTATTATTTTTTTTATGATGTCTGTCATTTATCTACTTATTTATACTCTGATGTGGAACAGGGATAGTGAATCTCATACAATTCATCCATCATATATCAAACAATGCCTTCTAGTGGTCATAATTTGACTTTTTTGTAGCATTTTACATCAAAATGCATTATTAGGGTTGAGTTGCATTTGGTTGTGACCTCTCACCATACATCTCGTTGCTTTTCTGAAACTCTGCATCTCTCAGAAGAGGTTCTGAGCTGTTATAGTAGGACCGAATGTTTTCTTCCAGGTACCAGGATTTATTCTCATCAAACACCATAAAGAGGAGAGCAAATTCTCTATCCACATCAGTTCTCTGTCTGGCCCGGTTCAGTACACCTCTCCTGCAGATTACTAATGGCCCAATCAGACCACTTGCTGTGTCCTTTAACATATGACAAAAGTCACACACACACAAAAAAAAAATATATATAACCATAATATTTTTATTATATTGTTGTTGTTCAGAATTAATCTTTTTGAATTCCTGGCTGAATGTAGAAGTAGTAGTAATTGTTGTTGTTTTCGTCGTCACAGTCAAAAGCATTATAATAATAATTATTATTATTATTGTCAACTTCAAAAGCCAAAATAAATCGAACAATAGCAATATTTTAGTAACACTTTAAAATAATGTTTAATATGTTAACATGTAACATGAAGTAACAATGAAAAATACAGTATATTCCATACAGTATATTAATTATATAAAAGCATTTATTAATCTTACCCATACATTGTTCAAATCAAAAGTTGTATCTGTTAATATTACTTAATGAACCTGAGGTAACATTAACTAACAATGAACAGTTGTATTTTTATGAAATAATGTTAACAAAGAAATAATAAAATAAATGTAATAAATGCATTGCTCATTAACTAATGTTAATTATTTAGACCTTATTGTACAGTGTTACCAATATTTTTATATTATTTTTGTTCAGAATGAATCAATTTTGATTCCTGACTGAATGTAAACAATAATAATAATTAAGGAATTAAAACTAAGAGCTTTACCTTAACAAAGTCCACAGCTGAGCGGTAGGCAAAAGCAATGCAGTTTGGATCAGACACACCTGGGCCGGATTTCTCTGGAATCATCCACTGGTACTGAGTCTTATTTCCTGCAGTAAAGAGTTTCATTTGCATTCACAACAGGATGCGTCACATGTATAATGGGGGAAACCTAGCAGATTTCTATTTAAAGTCTGATAATGTTCAAAACACATTTAATGAAATCCCTGAAGGTGTCTTTGTATACATTTTACAGTTGAAATAAGGAGTCAAATTGTGGGATTTTCATCTTCCTCTACCTGGCATGACAGCTTCAGGTTTAGAAGTAGAGGTTCTGACTCCATGTGCTTGTATTGAGTAAGGATGACTAGCTTTATTCATGAATGTGATCAGCAAAATCTGGCCAACTTCAGCTCTAATTACAGGTCCTATAAAACACATACATATTTTCAGTAATTCATTCATTCAAATGGGAAAACTGATGTTCAAAATATTAAAAAATAAAGGTGGAACGAAATTGTGATTAGCCACCAAAAATCTCCAAGTGTTTCTCTTGAGGCTGCCTCAGTTTTCTTGTCCTGAAGGTGGCGTCGGTGTATTCTCTATAAACTACTTTCTTATACCTGGAGCCCAGTCTGTTCTTTCCTGTCCCCACAAATAAACTGCCAGGACTGAGACAAGAATCTGGTTACCAAAGCCATTCAAATGCTGCAACCTCTACAAAAGTTGTAGAACATACATCTACCTTTTCTCCTCAGTCGTGTTGAAGTTCTGCAATTCCCAGGTACGATCAGGTGAGTAGTCCCACTGCCTCTCTTCAGCACAGATGAAATACTCCACTATCTGAGACCTTAATACTGAGGGATTCTTATTCCCTGACCCCTTCACTTTATACAGCTGTCTCATCCCACCAACATAGTGATCAGAGACTAGACAGCTCACCTCAAATTCACCTGCAATCATAATCACAATGTGAATTGAACAAAGGAAAATGTTGATTGACAGCATTTGAGCACCAAATCAGCTTATCATCAGCATGAAGGATTACGTGACAGTGAAGACTGAAGTAATGGCTGAAGTAAATATACATCATTTGCTGAAATAACATGGCACTGACCACTGACATCTGGTTGCATGGACACAGTGACTGCAGTGTGTGGGAACAGGCTCAGCGTGTCACGTGTTGTGCCTTGTCTCTGGAACGTGTTGCCTTGGAAGTAAATACCATGCATGTCTATCTCTGTGCCAAGCAGGGGCGGACTGGCCATCTGTGTGATCTGGAGAATCACAGAACGGCCGGTACTCCAGGACGGCCGGTGGGCCGGCCCACCACCCGCCACACACGCAGTCACAGACATCCCAAGTCTCCCGGAAGTTCCCCGCATATTTATAGCGGCTCACTGATGCCCGCAAATTAGTTAAAATCTCTCGGAATCTAGAGCGAATAAGAGTGCGCATGCGTAGCGCGCGCACGGCAGAAAGAGGGAGCGAGCTAGAGACCTTGCGTGTGTGTGCTAGTGTGCGCGTGTGCCTCACGAAGCGCATGTAAGGACCCAACCAATCAAGTGCGGGCGGGCTTTTATCTCTACTACTGACGAACCGAATTAATCAGAAATTACTTTGCAAGTTACTTGCTAGGGATGATGTTAGGAAGTGATATTCAGCTTGCTACATTTTTAATGATTACAGTAGTTAAAACAGCTAAACTTCAACATTTTAGCTGTAAAATGCCACATGCAGTAGCTAATATTAAGAAATATGTTGTGCTTTTACTTTTAAAAATGTTGGTAACGTTACAGTTAATGCTTACAAACTTTGAAGATTTTGAATACAGAAGTTACATTTGTAATGGTGTAGCCTATTTTCATTTAGATGTGGGATTATTATTTGTGCAGTAGCTAAGATTAATTACTGCATAAATTAATTAAGATTATTAAGTAATAAATTCATTTTAAGACAGCATGGAATAGATTGTATAATTTGCTGTTAGCTAGGTATAGTATTATGAGCCACAATTAAAGTCTTGTGACACTCATGCCAGGCGGCAGGCGTTATTGTTGTTGTTGTCGAGTTTCCGCGCGCCGATTGCTTTGGGCCGGGCCTAGTCAAAGTCCAGGGCCGTTTTTTAGTCCCAGTCCGTCCCTGGTGCCAAGTCCCATGAGATGCCATCTTACCCTGGACTCCTTCTTCATCTCAAGGCCAGGCAGGTTCCCATACATAAAGCCATTCACAGCTGCATTACACACAAAAAATAACAGGGTGTGTAAGAAGGACCCTGAATGGAATTTAAAACTTTCGGCTGATTTGTAAAATTATTAGTTGACCATTACACTGGGTCTGCAACTTTCTTAAATAGGGGTTCTGATTCTTAAGCCAAAAATATGCTTAATTTGTCCGTTTACCACTACGACTTGTGCATAGCATGCGTATGTAAAATTATTTGTAACCTTCAGAATCTGTTTGAGAATGAAGTCGTTTGCACATGTGCCCCGAATAAACTGCTTGAAGAAGATAAAATACCAATTAAAAACAACAGAAGAAGAATGTGAGAGGAGCAAAATGGAGGTATGAAGATATCCGTGTTTGTAGAAGTATAAAGATGAACAACGTGCTGTCCTCTCCAGGTCAGGTGAAATATCACAAATAAGTCACAGTGCGAATACCGGTACGTCAATTTCATGGTCAGATATGTATAGGCTACACCAAAATGAAGCATATCCCAGGCAGACAGCATGTAAGGTGAGTGTAAATACCATGCATTTTATTGCTCTCCTGAAACTCCAAATTCTCTGAGTCTGATTCATTGGTGTCATAGGTTTCAATGTTCTGTTCCAAGTACCAGCTGAGATTTTCATCTAACACAGAAAACAGCAGAAAAAACTCCCGATCCACATCTTTCTGTAAGAAAAATTATATTACAGATAAAAAGTAATATTGGTCAATAAAATAATTGGAACACTTTATTTTAAGGTGACGTAGTTACACGTTACTACATATTATTTTGAATCTCTCCTTTTATTTGATTAAGAACATTTGATTCTCATATTACCTGAGCACCATTGGAATTCAGTGCATCTTTCTTACACACCAGCAGGGGGCCTATGAGACCAGAGTTGGTGTCTCTGACTGGATCACTGGAGGAGAAGTACAGGTAGGAAATACAGGGTGGGTCACTTTCAGATGGTCCCTCCTTTAACAGCCACCTGTAGGTGAACGTTTCACCTGGCTTAACCTGATATCCTTTCCTCTTTATACCTACAATACATCAAGACATTTATTTTACTGGGACAAAACAAACCTTTTGATTGACACATTAGCCAGATGGTGTGAAAAAAAGTCTCACCGTCTTGATAAAAGACACCCTCAAAGGATTTGTCATACTGAAGACCATGTGGCTGGATACTGTAGATTCTGTCAGCCTTGTTCATAAACATCACCTGAAGGGTGTCTCCAACCTCAGCTCTCAGAACTGGACCTACAGACACCATGATGTAAATGTGACAGAAAGGTTCGGATCAAATTTATGAAACACTTTTGATCTAACCAAGGTTGAAAATGTTATTTAGTGTATAATTGTTTAAATCCACATGAAGAAGCTTACCCAAAATGCCTAGATGTGTCTCAGCACTGGTTTCCTTTCTCTTTAAAGTGAAACTCTTATCTGTATATTCTTTGTACACCACTTTCCAATACTTTCCACCAAGTCGGCCACCATCCATCCCGAAGAACACCTCTGAAAAGCTAAGGATGACCAAGAATTTGTCAAAAACAAAAACTTTAATAAACTAATTGCAGTGCATGTCTGAATTATAATCAGATTTTCAACCTCCCAGGTTTGGTCAGCGACTCATTGGTCCGTTGATCCATCCCTGATGGTGCGTAGTCCCACCGAACCTTCTCAGCAGCAATGAAATACTTCCTAATCTTCGCATTGAGAGGAACTGTGGAGTTTATCTTATCCCTGCAGGACGAGACTTTGAACAGGGCCTCCATACCAGCTGTGGAAGACAACATGGAAGAGCCCTGTATGTCACGGTATACTATTCTCTGGTTCCTTCTTGTCTCGTGTTTATGTTGTTGTGTGAATGCACGTGCGTAGTGGGCGTGAGTGTTGTGACATTACCTGATCCGCTCCAGCTGATCATCATTATCACCGCCAGCTGCAGTCCATTTCCTCACCCTATTTATACTCACTGGTTTTTGTCCTCTTTGTCAGATCGTTGTTTGATGTCTCCTGTGTCGGTGTTCCAGTCTTGTCATCCCGCTCGTCCGGTGTTCGTGTTTCTTCGTGGGTTCGTCATCGTCTGTGGATTATCGTTTGGGTTGTGTGGATTCCGTCTTCAGTGTTCACCACTTCACGGTTCCTGTCTTCACCACTGACCATCGAAGTCCCTGCGCCATCGTTCCACGCCCGTGTCATTGTTTGTCTCAATTCTGTCATTAAACTGAGTTTACTTGCTATTGCTTCCAGTGTTCTGTGACCCGCCATGACAGAACGATCTGACCAAACCATGGAAGCAGCGAGTGTGCCATCGTCTTCGTTGGAGGATTTCATTCGGCACAGCATACGAAGGATGGATTCCCAGGAGAGGAATTTGAATGACACGGGTCGTGCGGTACAATCTTTGGTGGCGCAGGTGTCCGAGCTTACCCAACAGATCCAACAACTACGAGCTCCCACTGCGCCACCCGCACCAGCCGTTCCCCCCACACCACCAGAGGTCCAGCATCGGTCTGAGCCCCGCCTACCGGCTCCGGAGGCTTATTCCGGGGACTCAAAGTACTGCAGAGCTTTCCTGACACGATGCTCGATGCATTTTGCTCTGCAACCCAGAACCTTTCAGACTGAACAGGCAAAGGTAGCGTTCGTCCTGACTCTCCTGACGGGAAAGGCGGCGCTATGGGGAACGGCGGTGTGGGAGAACCAAGACCTATGCTGCGCCTCGTTCCACGCACTCTCCACCGAAATCCGACGAGTCTTCGATCGCGCCGTCGCGGGGAGAGAGGCCGCCAGGGTTTTGGCCGACCTGCATCAGGGAGAGAGGTCGGTCGCGGATTTTTCCATCGAGTTCCGGACCCTGGCGGCCGAATGCCAATGGAACGAGGAGGCGCAGTGGGACATGTTCCTGCATGGGTTGGCTGACCGCGTCCAGAGGGAGATCTACGCCCTGGACCTCCCCACATCTTTAAATGGGCTGATCGAGTTAGCACTGCGGGTGGACGCTCGACTCTCACGTTCACCCGCACACCGGAAGGAGCCGAGGGTCCATGGTCCAGCGGCAGGGACGCGGTCAGTCCCGTCTACGATCACGAACCCATGCAGGTGGGGCGAGCTCGGCTTTCCCGGGAGGAGAGGGAAAGGCGGAGGTCCCAGGGCCTTTGCCTCTACTGCGGTGGCACGGGACATTTCGCATACAACTGCCCGGTAAAAGGTCAAGCCCGATAGTAAGTATGAGGCTACTATCGGGTGGGATCTCCGCCAAGAAGACCTCATCCACATCTACCCTCCTCCCGGTAAGACTAAGATGGTCAGTCCACCAGCACGACTGTAGAGCACTTTTGGACTCCGGGGCGGAAGGTAATTTCATGGACAAATCATTTGCACTCAAGTTTCAGATTCCCCTCAAGCCCCTCACTCACAGGATTGCAGTACATGCACTTAATGGTCAAGAACTTCCCACTATTTCATTCACGACTGAAGACATCACCCTCATCACATCTGGCAACCACACTGAGACTATTTTTTTTTACATACTGGATTCACCCCTCGCACCTCTTGTTCTTGGACACCCCTGGCTCATCCACCACAATCCCCGTATAGACTGGCAGCAAAGAACTGTGCTGGAGTGGAGCAAGGAATGTCATAAGTCCTGTCTTGTGTCTGCTTGTTCGTCTGTTCCTGTTTTTGTGTTTCAGGAGGAAGCGGGGGATTTGTCTAACGTGCCCAGGGAGTACCTGGACCTGAAGGAAGTGTTTAGTAAGTCTCGTGCTGCTTCTCTTCCTCCGCATCGTCCCTATGACTGTGCCATAGATTTACTGCCAGGTAAGTCTCCGCCTAAGGGCAAGTTATACTCACTGTCTGTTCCGGAGAGGGAGGCCATGGAGAAATATATTTCTGATTCTCTAGCAACCAAGTTCATTCGCCCTTCCTCTTCTCCAGCGGGGGCGGGGTTCTTTTTTGTGGGGAAAAAGGATGGTTCTCTGCGACCTTGTATCGATTACCGGGGGTTGAACAACATCACGGTAAAGAATACTTATCCTTTGCCGTTGATGTCTTCAGCCTTCGAGAGGTTGCAGGGAGCTTCCGTCTTCACGAAATTGGACTTACGTAACGCATATCATTTGGTTCGCATTAGGGAGGGGGATGAGTGGAAGACTGCGTTTAACACCCCCAGGGGGCACTTTGAATATTTGGTTATGCCGTTCGGGCTGTCCAACTCCCCCGCGGTCTTCCAGGCACTCGTCAATGACGTGCTGCGAGATATGATAGATCAGTTCATATATGTTTACCTGGATGACATATTGATTTTTTCATCTTCTCTCCAGGAACATGTGCAGCACGTCCGACGAGTGCTTCAGAGGTTGCTAGAGAATGGGCTTTTTGTCAAGGCGGAGAAATGCAAATTTCATGCACAGTCTGTTCCTTTCCTAGGGCACATCATTTCGTCTGAAGGAGTGCGTATGGATCCGGAAAAGGTTAAGGCTGTGGTCGAGTGGCCAAGCCCAGATTCCCGTAAGGCCCTACAGAGGTTTCTGGGCTTCGCCAATTTCTACCGGCGTTTTATTCGTAATTTCAGCCAACTAGCCGCGCCTCTGACTGCCTTGACCTCACCCAGAACTGCGTTCAGGTGGACAGACACAGCGGAAGCTGTGTTTGCCAAACTGAAAGGCCGCTTTGTTTCAGCCCCCATCCTTATTGCCCCTGATTCTTCACGTCAGTTCGTGGTGGAGGTCGATGCGTCAGAGGTGGGGGTAGGTGCAGTGCTATCCCAACGCTCTCCTACAGACGACAAGATGCATCCCTGCGCGTTTTTGTCTCATCGCTTGTCCCCAGCCGAACGTAATTACGACATCGGTAACAGGGAGTTGTTGGCAGTCAAAGTAGCGTTGGAGGAGTGGCGTCACTGGTTAGAAGGGTCGGGGGTACCTTTTATCGTCTGGACTGATCATAAGAATCTAGAATACATTAGAACGGCTAAAAGACTGAACTCCAGGCAGGCTCGGTGGGCACTTTTTTTCGGCCGTTTTGACTTTACTCTCTCGTACCGCCCGGGTTCTAAAAACATCAAACCCGATTCATTATCTCGTATTTTTGAGCCTTCCGAACGCCCGTCTACTCCCGAGTGCATTTTACCCGAAACCATATTTGTTTCCACACTCACATGGGAGGTCGAATCGAAGGTCAAGTCGGCCTTAGAAGGGGTAACGCCTCCGCCCGGTTGCCCACCGAATCGTTTATTTGTGCCGGAGGGATTACGGTCCGACGTCATTCAGTGGGGTCATTGCTCCAACGTGGCTTGTCATCCAGGAGTCAACCGAACCGGCTTCTTGGTTAAGCAACGATTTTGGTGGCCACTTATGGCTCGTGACGTCCACAGCTTTGTCTTGGCTTGCTCAGTTTGTGCCACTGGTAAGACTTCTAATCGACCCCCAGATGGGTTACTCCAACCGCTGCCAGTCCCTTCGAGACCCTGGTCCCACATCGCGCTAGATTTTATTACCGCCCTCCCGCCCTCCCAGGGTAACACAGTCGTTTTGACCGTGGTGGACCGGTTCTCGAAGGCGGCTCACTTTATTCCCTTACCCAAATTACCCTCAGCTAAGGAGACAGCGTTGACTGTCGTAGATCACGTCTTTCGGTTACATGGCCTCCCGGTGGACGTGGTCTCCGACAGGGGACCCCAGTTTGTGTCCAAATTTTGGCGAGAGTTTTGTAGATTACTGGGTGCGACGGTTAGTCTGTCCTCAGGGTTCCATCCCCAGAGCAATGGCCAAACTGAGAGAGCCAACCAAGACCTGGAAAGGGCGTTACGGTGCGTGGTTTCCAAGAATCCTTCCTCATGGAGCCAACAACTATCCATGGTGGAGTACGCCCACAACACGTTACCGGTGTCGTCCACGGGCCTTTCTCCGTTTGAGGCTAGTTTAGGTTACCAGCCACCTATTTTTCCTAGTCTGGAATCCGAGGTCGCGGTCCCCTCTGCTCACGCCTTCGTCCAGAGGTGTCACCGTACCTGGACTAGAGCCCGTGAGACTCTACTCCAGGTGGGGGCGCGCACCAAGGCCAAGGCCGATCGCCACCGGTCAAGGCCTCCCGTATACATCGTCGGTCAAAAAGTGTGGCTTTCTACCAGAAACATTCCTCTCCGCTCCGTCTCCAATAAGCTTGCTCCCAAATTCATTGGCCCGTTCACTGTCACCAAGATCATTAGTCCGGTGGCAGTCCGCCTCAATTTACCTCCGGCGTACAGGAGAGTTCATCCCGTCTTCCACGTATCCAAAATTAAGCCCGTGTTTCATTCGCACATTAATCCGCCAGTCCCGGTTCCCCCCCCCCCGCCGCGACTCGTAGATGGGGAGACCACTTATTCGGTCAACCGTATTCTGGACTCTAGGCGGACGGGGACGCGGATTCCAGTACTTGGTGGACTGGGAAGGTTACGGTCCGGAGGAGAGAAGTTGGGTACCTGCTAGAGACATCCTGGATCACTCCCTTATCGATGTTTACAATCGACAGGTAAGGAGTTCTGAGAACGCCAGGAGGCGTTCTTAGGAGGAGGGGTACTGTCACGGTATACTATTCTCTGGTTCCTTCTTGTCTCGTGTTTATGTTGTTGTGTGAATGCACGTGCGTAGTGGGCGTGAGTGTTGTGACATTACCTGATCCGCTCCAGCTGATCATCATTATCACCGCCAGCTGCAGTCCATTTCCTCACCCTATTTATACTCACTGGTTTTTGTCCCCTTTGTCAGATCGTTGTTTGATGTCTCCTGTGTCGGTGTTCCAGTCTTGTCATCCCGCTCGTCCGGTGTTCGTGTTTCTTCGTGGGTTCGTCATCGTCTGTGGATTATCGTTTGGGTTGTGTGGATTCCGTCTTCAGTGTTCACCACTTCACGGTTCCTGTCTTCACCACTGACCATCGAAGTCCCTGCGCCATCGTTCCACGCCCGTGTCATTGTTTGTCTCAATTCTGTCATTAAACTGAGTTTACTTGCTATTGCTTCCAGTGTTCTGTGACCCGCCATGACACTGTAACCTTCTGTGTAGACAGCATGTAAAGCTTTTTGAAGATATAGACAGAATTTTAATAACAGCATTTTAGCAAAAATATATTTTAATATATTTTAATAATCAAGACAATAATGGTAGCACAAAGTAGTTACATTACTTTAGCTTAAATAAGGCTAAAAATCCTGTACAATCTGGGTGGCTAATCTTTTATTAGGTTTTCAATCTTTTAGATGCAATAGAACCCCAAATATAATCATTCTCAGGAGCAGCTATATATTTTCATTTATGAAGACTTAATTTATACTCACTTAAATAGCCAGGTATATTATGCAATATACCAGTATAAAATATTATTTGGAAAATATTTGAGGTTTTTAGTGTCCTTTTTAAAACACCTGCCGCCCATGCCAGAGACACCGGTTTGAATCCCGCTTTGAGCGGATCGAGTAGAACCGGAGGGGTTACATTGGTGCCGTGACCCAGATGGGAATTTAGGGGGGTGAGTGTAACTGATGCCAGATAGTAAGATCTGTGTGAATAAACCTTACTCCCCTGGCCTCAAGAGGTGCACTAGAGACGGACGCTATAGAGACTGTGGTCTTTAGTGTCCTTGTTTGCTCGCCCGCCTCCCATGCAGAGATGGCAGTTCGAATCCTGCTTGGAGCGGGTCGAGTAAAACAGGAGGGATTACACTAATACATATGCACGTTCTAGAGTAAACAAACTATCAAAAAGCCAACTAGCTTTTTTTAACTGAAGCAGGACTAATTTCCATTACTACAACTGCCTTATTATGTTATCCTGTTATCAAAGAACACTCCTCAAAGTTTACCTTTCAGATGATCGTTCACTTGGCAGTTCAAGAGCCATGTCCCTATTGTCATAGGCACCATCTCTGCAGTGGCAAAAGTAGCAGAAAACAGACTCAGGACATCCACGCGGTGCCCGCGGTCTAGGAGTGTGTGTCCGTGAAAATAAGCAGAGTGAACGTCGATCTCGTTGCCCATGCCAAAGAGATGCAAAGCAACTGTGTTGTTTTGGCAAAACTCAATGCCTGGTAGGTTGCCGTACATGTATCCATTTATGGCTAAACATGGATAATAAAAAAAAGTACTTAATAACTCAAACTGTGTACATTAGCTATGTCACAAAACAGCTCTATAGGTTCAGGAATTTTCATACAATTAACGCACCACAGCACTTTTTTTCTTTAACGTCTGGACAGCCACAATTTTAGTTCATACAGTCAATTGTCAGGTGCATACCATGCATCATGTTGGATTCCTGGAAATCTTCTCTAGCAGGATCCACACCATCTGGATCAGAGCAGAAGGTCTGGACGTTCTCTTTCAGGTACCAGCTGATGTTCTCATCCACCACACTAAACATAAGGATTAAATCCTGTTCTACATCAGCACGTTGCACTTGATGGTGGTCTGAAGTGGACACAGCATGCAGGGTTCCTGAGGCCGGCATTTGGATTTGGCAATCAAAGGATAAGGTAAGAAAAAAAAAGCTAATAAAGATCAGAGGTAAAAATCCAAAGGCACATTTCATTTTTTTATTTTAAATATATTTTTAAAACTTATATTAAATATTAACTTAATTTTAGAGAGAAACTTGGAAATGGCTTTATATAACATTATAGCCATAATAACATTTATCAACTGTAGTATTGTAGTACTGGAAATAAATAGGAGCAAAAATAAATATATTTTTTTTACCATTAAACAATTATGCAATTAAGGATACTTACAAACCCTTCACTGAAAGTGTAACTTAAAAAAATGCAAGGACTTATTCTTAACAAAATTTTATTTTTTAATTCATCCCAGAGGTAAAAATACAGAAGTGCATTATATATATATTTTTTATATTAAATGCACCCATTTACATTTAAGGAGGAACATAAAGAGGAAATGTTCTTTACCATAATAACATTTATTAATTGTAGTAGCTATTAATTGACCTTTATCTAAAATGCTTTGCAGTTAACTAAAAATATCACAGGGAGCTACATTTCAGGGCTAAGTTTTCATAAAAATATAGTTTTGCTAGGAATGAATTATTAGAATGTCTGCTTTACCTTTCTTACAGGTGAGAAGGGCTCCAATAAGCCCGGAGGAAATGTCTTGTGAGGCGCTGACATGGGAGTGGTAGGCCCAGGTCAGGCAGTTGGCATCACCCTTTTGAGGAGCATAATCTGGCTTTACAGTCCAGGTATATGTGAAGTTTCCCCCTAGTGGAACCCCATCATCATTCTTCAGAGTGTCTGAGGTTCTGTCTGGATACAGCGCACCTAGTGCAGACAGGATTCGATAACAGGAGAAAGTCCACACAATTAAAAATAGCACCTTTGAAATGATTAAAAATACACTGATGAGCCAAAACATTAAAAGCGAATATCATTGACCATCTGCTAACAAGGCCATATATTAAGGTCAGGATATTAGATGGTAAACAAACAATCAGTTCACTTAATCAATGTGTTGGATGCATCAGAAATGGGCCAGAATAAAGATCTGAGCGACCAAATTGTTATGGCAAGGCGACTGGGTCAGAGTATCTGAAACGGCGAGGCTTGTGGGTTGTTCCCAGTCAGCAGTGGTGAGAATTTACCAACAGTGGTGTTGGGCGCCCAAGGCTCATCAATGCACGAAGGTTATCCCATCTGGTCCGAGCCAACAGAAGGTTTACTTTGGCACAAGTCACACAAAATTATAATGATGGTTATGGAGGGAATGTGTCAAAATACATGCTGCATATCTGAGTGCCAATGATGACCCCCGTCCACCGTCGAAAGCAAATATGCTAGGCACGTGAGTGTCGCAACTGGACATTGCAGTATTGGAAGAAGGTCGCCTGGTCCGATGAGTCCCATTTTCTTTTACATCACATGGACGGCCGTGTACATGTACGCCATTTACTTAAGGGAATTGATGGCACCAGAAAGCACTGTGACAAAGACAAGCCGTTGGAGGGAGTGTGATGCTTTGGGCAATGTTCTGCTGGGAATCCCTGGGTTCGGTCATTCATGTGGATGTAAGTTTGACACGTGCCACCTAAACATTGCTGCAGACCAGGTACACCCTTTCATGACAATGGTGTTCCCTAGTGGAAGTGGCCTCTTTCAGCAGGATAATGCACCCTGCCACATTGCACACATTGTTCAGGAATGAACATCTGTGGGATGTCTTGATGCCTGATACTACAGGACAACTTAAGGGTACTCGTAGCCTTGGCGGGTGGGCGCTGTTTTTGGCATTACGCGGAGGACCAAAAGCATATTAGGGAGGTGCTGTTTTGGCGCATTTAAGAAGTGAATGAGAGAAAGAGGTTTTACCTTCTGAATCTTTTGCATAGAAGACACCATGCGGATGCATGGAGTAACGTCTGGAGGCAAAGTTCTTCAGGTGCACAATGAGGATATCATGGACCTCTGCCCTCAGTATGGGGCCCAGATAGCCCAGCCAAGCAGGTTTGGGGATCTCTTGAGAATAAGAAGCATCTGTGTACTGCCTGTATATCGCCTTTTTGTACACACTGCCAATCCGCTGAGACCCGCGCTGCAGAGATGCTGATGCATACCTGGGCCATGAGAAATAAGAGGTGTTTTTTTTATTGTTTTTCTACTGTTATTATAATGGGATGATAATAAATGGCGGAGATTATTGGAAAATTTGAAAATGAACTCAAATTTGAAAATAAATAGGAAATTCAAAGTAACTTAACTTCAATAAATAGATTACACTCTTAGAATAAAGGTTCAGTGCGTTTGTACTGTATAGAACCTTAGGGTTCTTGACTCAATTTTAAAGAACCTTTTATACAAAAATTGTTCTATATAAGGATAATAATTAATATAATTTAATTAAAATTAAAAACGAATTAAAACAAAATGATCCCATGATGCATGATGGGAACCCTTAAATGTTCTATTTATGAAGCACCTGACAGAACCCTTCAAGTTTCTATGAACCTTTTCTTAAGAGTGCACACTTACCAAAATAAAGATTACTAAAGGAGGTTTTTGAAGCAATGCCTTTAGGTTCCCCAAAGAACCTTAAAGTGAACAGTACTTACTAAAACCTATTTATTTTTTCTCAATGTAAAGAACATTTTAATAATGTACATTTTTCACCTTTTTACTTTGACCATTAAACAATTAAATTTTAGATAAGTATAAATCCTTCACTGAAAAGTGTTAAAAACCTGCTTTGTTAAATGAGAAATGAATTTCTAATTACTGATACTCAAAAAATCCAAAGTATTCTCAACATAAATAAACAAATATTTAAATTCACACACACACACTTTTATTCAGTGTGTGAATCTCAAGGATGAAAATGTCCGGTTGGGCACTGGTACCAGGAAAAGTAAACTATATCAAATACATTCATCCAAATTAATACAGCTATATCAAATGACCAGATATTATCTAGAAAAAGTCGGTCCTCAAAACTGTCTGGGTAAACAAGAGACTCGTGAGAGCCGCCACAGAAAGGCTACCGAGTTCATTGAGAACAGAGTAGAGTGCACCAGCATGCATGGAAGGATGCCACAAAAAAAGAAAAAACACTCAAAAAGATTCATGTGAAGGCATGTCTGGATCCCTCCCCACCCATTGTCTAAAGATATATCATAACTATAAGATGTAAAGGAAAATAAACTTATTAATAATGAAATGTAATTTAAAAACATCACATTGAGCTAAATGTATGTGTATGTGGTATATACCTTAAGCTATATATATATATATATATATAGCCTCTATATATATCATATATATCATATATTAAAACTATTTATAATAAATAAGGATATATAAAAATGTACAATATTGCCATGTTTCAATCAGATTAATAACTTATAATTAATGAAGAATATATATAAATCTCACTCATCCACCGCAATAGGTTTCCCATTTATCAGATTCTGGCCGCTCGGTGCGTAATTCCAGTTTTCCTCTTGAATCCCAATGTAGAAGGTTCTGTTGTTTCCAGACGCTTGTGCTATCACAGCACAAAAGATGCTCAAGCTTCTCAAACAGTTCCAGAAAGTACCCATAGTCTCAGGGACACAAGTGTCTTGCTAGAATCCTCAAATGATTCTCAACAGGAACGTTCTGTCTGTGTGGTCCCTCGTTATTGCAACAGCAAAGAAATTTAAGATGACCAGTCATGAGCCATGATGACAGCCTTCAGGGATTCACACACCCATGAAATTTATGGGAAGCCCTTCGTTGCCGGAAGAATCCATCTGAAACGGCTCGCTGTATAGTTTCTAGTTGGTCATTAGCTCAAACTAATCATTATGGGGCAAACTGGTAAACCATCTTGGAAAAGCAATAAACAAACTACAAGATGGTCACACCAGTTTAAAAGTGGTCAAGATGAGTTTTGGAGCATGGTAGCTGGATAACCAGTTAACGACCAGCTTGCACCAGCTAATGACCAGCTAGAAACCGCAGCTATCATGTTCCAAAACACAGATACAGGGTTTAAGCATGTCTTGAATATCCATAATTGCATTTCAATTGCTTTTTTGAGGGTCAGTGTAAGAATTTGAATAATAAACTGAAATACCTGCTATTTGTTACATGTATGTCCTGTGTTGCCCCCGTTCTTTGTGTATTTGGTTCAGTCCTGTTTCCAGTTTCCCGCTCCTCGTTAGTGTTTAGTTTATTCACCTGTGTCTAGTTCATTTGCCCCAGCTGTGCCTTGTTTCCCTAATCTGTTCTCTGTGTATGTAAACCCTGTGTTCTCCCTCACTCCTTGTCGGTTCTCGTTCGTATGTACGTTTGTGTATGGTGTGTTACTGTCCCCCGTGATCCTTGTTTTGTTATTTAGTAAAGTATATTTGAATTGGACCTGTTGACTGCTGCTTCTCCTTCAACCTGCACCACACCCGTAACAGAAGAACCGACCAAAAAGGAAAAGGAAAAAAAGAAGAGGAAGATGGAGATCTGGGAGCTCGCGGGACAGATCACGGCTTTGGCGCTGGATAGCCGTGATCTGTTCCACTTTACCTGGGGCTTTGTTCCACTCGCTGCCTCCTGCTCGCTGGGCGATGAGATAATCAAGGCGTGTTACCGGCGAGGGGCCAAGGTGGTCGACCCAAGGGAACTTCCAGATCTCTCTGGTCTGGACTGGAGAGAGGCACTCTCCAGATGTCTGGAGAGCTTTCTCCCATGGCACGCCGTGTCCGCACCGCTGGTTCCGTCCAGCCCAGCCAAGCCCGCACCGCTGGTTCCGTCCAGCCCAGCCAAGCCCTCATCGCTGGTTCCGTCCAGCCCAGCCAAGCCCGCACCACTGGTTCCGTCCAGCCCAGCCGAGCCTTCACAGCTGGTCACGTCCAGCCCTGCCGAGCCTGAGCTTCCCTGCAGCCCTGCCGAGCCTGAGCTTCCCTGCAGCCCTGCCGAGCCTGAGCTTCCCTGCAGCCCTGCCGAGCCTGAGCTTCCCTGCAGCCCTGCCGAGCCTGAGCTTCCCTGCAGCCCTGCCGAGCCTGAGCTTCCCTGCAGCCCTGCCGAGCCTGAGCTTCCCTGCAGCCCTGCCGAGCCGGAGCTTCCCTGCAGCCCTGCCGAGCCGGAGCTTCCCTGCAGCCCTGCCGAGCCGGAGCTTCCCTGCAGCCCTGCCGAGCCGGAGCTTCCCTGCAGCCCTGCCGAGCCGGAGCTTCCCTGCAGCCCTGCCGAGCCGGAGCTTCCCTGCAGCCCTGCCGAGCCGGAGCTTCCCTGCAGCCCTGCCGAGCCGGAGCTTCCCTGCAGCCCTGCCGAGCCGGAGCTTCCCTGCAGCCCTGCCGAGCCGGAGCTTCCCCGCACGCCTGCCGAGCCGGAGCTTCCCCGCGCGTCTGCCGAGCCAGAGCCTTCTCCGCTGGTCCCGTCCAGTCCTCCCGAGCCTTCTCCGCTGGTCCCGTCCAGTCCTCCCGAGCCTTCTCTGCTGGTCCCGTCCAGTCCTCCCGAGCCTTCTCCGCTGGTCCCGTCCAGTCCTCCCGTGCCTTCTCCGCTGGTCCCGTCCAGTTCCCCCAAGCCTGTCTCTGAACCCGTCACTCCCCCCAAGAAAATTTTGGGGGGGGGATATAAGCCACCCGAGGGACAGTCTCCACCCTGGCCACCTGAAGTGGCCTCTCCACCCTGGCCACCTGAAGTGGCCTCTCCACCCTGGGCACCTGAAGTGGCCTCTCCACCCTGGCCACCTGAAGTGGCCTCTCCACCCTGGCCACCCGAGGGAAAGTCTCCACCCTGGCCACCCGAGGGAAAGTCTCCGCCCTGGCCTCCTGCACGTCCTGCTCCGCCCTGGCCTCCTGCACGTCCTGCTCCGCCCTGGCCTCCTGCATGTCCTGCTCCGCCCTGGAGGCTTCCTGCTCCGGGTAGGCCACTCCCTCGTCAGCCTCCAGGGCGCCCACCCCCCCACCCTTATTGATGTTACTCGGCGCGAGGACGCGCCTTGCAGGAGGGGGAGCTAATGTTACATGTATGTCCTGTGTTGCCCCCGTTCTTTGTGTATTTGGTTCAGTCCTGTTTCCAGTTTCCCGCTCCTCGTTAGTGTTTAGTTTATTCACCTGTGTCTAGTTCATTTGCCCCAGCTGTGCCTTGTTTCCCTAATCTGTTCTCTGTGTATGTAAACCCTGTGTTCTCCCTCACTCCTTGTCGGTTCTCGTTCGTATGTACGTTTGTGTATGGTGTGTTACTGTCCCCCGTGATCCTTGTTTTGTTATTTAGTAAAGTATATTTGAATTGGACCTGTTGACTGCTGCTTCTCCTTCAACCTGCACCACACCCGTAACACTATTAAAGCCTGTGCATGTATGATTAGCTAAACCATTATATAAAATTGTATATATAAAATAAATAATTCTGGTGCCACCCATACATTTTTTAAATCTCCATTATTACAAATATTAAGAAAATTTATATCAAATATTTTTTACAATTCAAAAATATTTTTTCTGTTATTTTTAATATGAAAAACCCATTCCCACCACAAAAGAATAAAATATTTTGAATAAAATCAAATGCTTTGGTAAATCATAATTATGACATATAAAGTTACAATTATTACGTTAAAACATATAAGTTAAAACACATTTGACAATAAAACGAGAATCAACATTGCCTTTTCTTTTCGGAGATGGCCAGAACAATGTTGTAAAAGCGACATGGAGAATTGCGATTTTATTAGCCTAAATATCGTTACGGTATTTTATTGAGCAGATAAACTGCCATTATGTAGCTCCTGTATCTGAAATGCAATGTAAAAATATAGGGCGGGGACTTAATTCTTTAAATCGGGAATTGATTGTATCATATTGCTGTGATCTCATGTGATATGGCACCTCTCCTCTAGATGGCAGCAGCGAGTTCCCGCTGCTGCTCTGCAAATCTAACATTCACAGAGGTACTTAAACGTTTCCGCAAAAGCAAAATGGTGGATTTGTTATCATCCTTGGCGCCCTGCAAAATAAAAAAAATCAGTCTGTATATACTATCCTAGAGGCGTTGCACACTACATAACCATGTTTAAGAAAGCTAAGAGGTGCAATTTCAGGCGGAGGAATGAATCGGACGACGAGGAGAAAGAGGAGGTCCAGCAGTCCGGCGGGCCCGGGGCTGAAGAGTCGGCGAACCCGAGCGAGTCCAGCACTGGTCCCGCTCCTGGAGCAAACATGCTGAACAACCACGGGAACGGGTTTCAGCCCGGTGCTGTTAAGGTCAATAAAGACCTTAAGAAGAGAAAGAAGGAGAACCGAGAGGAACCTAAAGCGAGTCTGCTGAGCTTCCACGACGATGAAGGTGCTTATTAACTGCCATTAAAGACACGTGTAACGTAAATAAATCTACGTAAAAACAATGTAATGTTGCACATATTGTTCGTGTAGAGTTTTTGCGGTACAGTTCATTATCTAATTGTAGTCTATTTAAATTATATAACAGTTCGCGTCTTTAAAGTGACAGTCAATAACCGAAAACACGAGCTACTTTGCATATTATATTATCTAGTAATAGTGATCAATTAGGACTCAGGGCACATATTGGAATATACTCAATTGGCTTAAGACCATATGATACAGTGATAAGAATCAGAATTCCCAGTCAGGGCAAAGGTGGAAATAGCTGTTGAGTCGATTCTTTTCAATTAATCGGTCGAACTGGTTCACGTTATTCATTATTGAATCAGTCTGAAATTAAATGCTTTTAAAAATCCTTATCCAGTATTGATACAAATAGATTGACTGTTACATTCATTTATCAAAGTGTGAGGTCCCTGAAGAATATTTTGAAGTTGTGTCCCAAATGACATGCTATCTAAAGTCTTTGATAATACACTTTGCACCTTTACTATGCATTATGTACTCAATCGTCTAGTGAATGAATTTTATAGATTCACTATATATCTCTCACTATTAGATGACACTGATGTGTTCCGTGTGAAGAAATCCTATCACAGCAAGAAGATCGTCAAGCAGCTGAAGAAAGAATACAAGGATGATTTGGAAAAGACCACCACTGCCATACCAGAGCAAAGCACACGCATTGGTACTAAACATCTTTCTTTTTTTTTTTTTTTTTCATATCATGGATTTCTATAAAGCAGAATCAGGGGACTGCTTTGTGTTTTTAAATCATCAAATTTTATTAAGAAAATACTTTGTTTGCTCCCCCCACTCTTAAGTTGTAATGGTATTTACACATAAGAATAAAGCACTACTAATTTTTGGATTATTGCAAGATAACGTAGTGACCCCAGTGCAACAAGGGGGCAAAAGGAGGCATTTCCTCCTCAGATCTGATTTGTGCCCCCTCAGTTTGATTTTGTCCCCCCTCTCCACCCCTGAAACGCTATCAGTTTTAACCGTTTGATGCGTACAATCGCACCAATGTGATCAATTGCTTATACCTGAAGAATTATGTATGGCCCCCCACCAGTTTGTTTGTCCTGGCATCGGCTCTGAGTTTGACCCCCTTTGTTCTAGAGTTATTATTTTTATATGGTGATTTAGCCTTCAAAAGTATTACAACAAACCCTCAGTAATCTTGGCTATTTACATAAGTTTGTATTCTGGCTCACTGGTTTGTTTGTTTGTTTCAGGTGGACCTGCTTATAATCTGTCAATTAAAGAGGAGCCCTTAGTGGGCAGCAGAGCCAGCAGTGAACAGGGAGAAGAAGAAATGGAGGTGGACAGCAATGAGGAACAGGAAGAGGAGGGCGAGCAAAGGTCTGCGGGTGGAGCCTTTAGCCAAACTCTGTCTGCCCTCAGCTCACTTAGACCAGGTAAGAGTTTCCATGACATCCAGACTGGACCTGTAGAGCAAGTCACAGGACCAACGTCAGCATGATCAGGCTGTTTTTGCTTATTAAACACTTCAAGGTTGGAACCTGCTGATGTGTATTGTGGTTAAACATTGAATGTTGTTAAACAACGTATGTGATCAAATCCACTTTTTTATATGGCAAACAAATAGCTTTTAGTTCGTTTAGGCTCTTTCTGGTTAAACTAATTCACATGAAGGTGATTTATTATTGGTCTAAACACAATGATTAGAGTCATACGTCTCAACAGGTGAGATCCCCGACGCGGCCTTCATTCATGCAGCTCGTAAACGTAGGCAGATGGCTCGAGAGCTTGGGGGTGAGGCTCCGTTGATCGAGAATGAAGCGACGAACAAGCGCCTTGTTCACGAAGATGAGAACGGCGGCAGTGACGACGATGAAGATGAGAAGAGAATCAACTTCAGTGGAGTCAAGATAAAGACTCAGAGGCAGAAAATAGCGGAGGAGATCGGTCAGTTTATGCATGTGGGAGCAGTTCAGAGCTCTAGTAATCTGAAACCTGTTCTCCAGAGGGACTGTCCTTGTAATAAATGTCATGTCACAAAGTAAAAGTCACACAAAAGAGATTAACTAGAATAACTATAAATAGGAATTGTGTGAGAAATCAGATCCTGGTAGAGATGTGCACTTACCCATAATCTGACCATAGTGTTTGTTTTGGATGTGTCTGTTGTGATTCAGGTATTGAAGGCAGTGATGATGAAGCTCTAGATAATGGCCAGGATGAGGAAGTGAATCGCTGGGAGCAGGAGCAGATCAGGAAGGGCATTAGCATCCCGCAGGTGAGTCGGAGTATCATAACTAGGATATATGACAGCGTTTCATAGAATGGAACAGTGCCCATCCACTTTTTCAGCGTCCTTGGTTCCGGAAGTTTTTTTTTTTTTTTTTTTTAAGTCTTCATTTTAAGAGTTATAAACCATAAACCAAACCAACCAGATACAAGGTGAATCACAACACTAATTTGAAGCAAAAACCTTCATTTTGACCCTTTATCAGAAATGATCTATTTTTAAGGGCCACTGTTATGATTGTAGCTGCTGTCAGACCCAATACAGCTGACTGCTTCATCTTTCAACAAAAGTTTCTTTGCAAACTCCATTACACTGTGCCTTGTTTACAAAATGGACTGCATTTATATAGCGCTTTCACAGACCCAATGGCCACCAAAGCGCTTTACATATTGCCTCACATTTACTCATTCACACACCGATTGACAAAACCATTTGCAGTCAAATTCTCCAAACAAACAAATAATCATCCGACGCTATCCATGACAGCATTAAAAATAGAGATGCACCGATCGATCGGCCAGGGACCGGAATCGGCTGATTTTCCGCATGATCGGTCCGAATCGGTGACCAACCAGGTCACAACGAAATTGTCAAAATGCCCATCTTGGTGAGGTCAACAGTCAGTTTTGGAACATAAGTAGTTGAGAAAGATAAGACATGCTGTGTAAGAGTATATTGGATTCGTGCATAAACTTTTAAAGTGACAGCAGTCTAATATTTCATGTCTGTCATGTTAATCAAAGAACAAAAGACAAAGAGACTCACTCTGCTCTTGACTGAATAAGTTTTATAACTTTAATTGTAAGCTTTTATCAGTATTTAATTTTTACAGGGAAGACTATCCTGTTATTTTACATTTGATTACTTTAATTTCTGTAGTGTTTCTTACCTGAATAATAACTGAAGTTAGACCCATCTGAAAAACCTAAAGCCATGTTAATTTAATTTGTCTCTTTATTCTATTGCATTTTTGTGCTGTTGTTTGCAATTTGCTCTTATTTTATTGCTGCCATTTTAATTTCTTTTTTTTTAATGAAAATAAATCTTTGCTTTAAGGAAAATTAGATTTTTGTTTGTATATGCTGTCAATTATAGTTCTTAGAAAGAAAATAGAAATCTGCAAAAATCTGTATCATTAGGTCACACTTACAAAAAAATCGGAATCGGCCAAGAAAATTGCAGTCAGTGCATCTCTTAATTAAAAATTAACCAACCACTTGTTCCTGGACGCTGGTATCGTTCTGAAGTCTCTACAGAAATGAGCTGTTTAAACAGGACGCATCGAAGCAAACGTCCCATTACACTTCCATCTACTCTTCCATTTGTCCTCATCGGCAGACTTGAGTGCTTGGATTAATTCAAAAAGTGAACGGGCATCTGTATACTTTATACAGTGTCAGTAATTATAATGGGTTCTATTTGCATTTGACGTGGCGCTCGCATCATGTAACGACAGTGGGCGGGGACTATCATGCAGTGATGTAAAACTATTTGTCATTGATCAAATTTTAAAAATGTTTCTTGAACTCCAAATAGTAAAAAAAAAATATTTTGCATTTGTCACATAATCCTTCAGAAATATGCTGTGTTTTTAATCAAATAAATGTAGCCTTCAAAAACATTTGACAAAAGCCTTTCTGGTCCTAAACTGTTGAATGAGACCAGCTCTGTTGACATTCCCACTGTGTACTATAGTTTGCACTTTGAAATCGCAATATTTAATGCTTACACCAATCCTTTTGTCTCATCTTGTTTTGATATTTTAGGTCCAAGCCACCCAATCCGAGGATACAACCATGTATTACCAAGGCAGTTATGATGCGCAGCCATATGGAGCGTCCTACGCCATGCCGTTTAGCTACGCCACCATCGCAGTTGGAGCCGACAACAGCAAGACTTTGAAAGCAGAGCCCTCAGTTCCTTATCCCATTCCCTCTTGTGACCTGACCCCTATAACCACAGATCTGGTAAAGAAACGTCTCAAAGACAGGTACGGTCTGAACTGCCTTCTCATCGGCGGTCACTGTAACCCCTCAAATTGCCAGTTCAAATCTGCCCAGTTGGTATTTCCTAGGAGTTTAAATAACCAACACTTCATAGTCTTTAATGCCCTGATAATTGTCATGCACGTCCCATAAAATTGCCCTATTCAGACATTGGAGATGAAAGCTTGTACTTTGGACTTCCAGCATAGTGAGGATACACACAAGACACATGTCTCCTCACACGTTGTTCCTGGTTAATTCTGGGTATCCCTGTTTCTGCCGAAGTGTAATATTTCTTCCTCCGGATGGAGTATTTGCAGATGCTAAAATCTGCAGCTGTTTTACTGACTCAATTGCATTGTTTAGACCTAACCGTCTTCATCAGGACATGTGCGACCCTGGCGATGTCCCCATACATCACTAATAGCAAACCTCTCTTTGACTCCCCTGTGCACCAGGCTGAGCTTCATGCGCCAGGGGCACAATTCCAATGCCCGGCGCTTTGAGCAGATCCAGGAGGAGCTGGAGGCCTCCAAAAAGACCATCCAGCTCCTAGAGGGCTCCTCACAGGAGGCCGCAGACAAATATAGATTCTTGCAAGAAATGCGAGGGTATGTTGGAGACTTGCTTGAGTGTTTCAGTGAAAAGGTAAGAATGAATGCATTTGTTTTTATGTTGCTGTTGTTTGTTTTACTCACTTGTTTTTAAGTTTTTAACTTTTTTTTAGACCTTGATACTGTATTTCTTTTGGAATGATTTCAGTTTATTGGATGTTGCCTATGTCAGAATTTTGTGTAGTTAATTAGACTTTAAATGTATTTATCTCAACTACAATTACAGTATTCGTTTTATAATACCATTAGTAGTAAAAATAACACCAGTTACTTGTAATGTGTATATATAATCACATAGTTCATGTTTATGATGTTTGTTAAACTCATTTTCAGCAGTCCACCAGGTCATATTTTCCATCAGATCATGGATTATTTTGTTATCTTCCATATTTTTCCCATAGCTGATGCAGCAAGAGATTCTTTGTGTTTCTCATTTCTTTCAGCTATAAAGAGGCACTATAGACAAATCATGGTGTCCATGATGATGCATTGGGAACTAACATGGCACCAAAAGTGTTATTAGTTGAAAAAATGCCTTTATTGTGATTTATCTAATACATTTTCATGTTATTTAGAAAGTAATAGTTCAAACTTCCTTTTTTTGTGTGTGTGTGTGTGAGACTTCCAATTCGTTAGGTAGCTAAGTAGCTTGTTTACGGTGTTGTTGAACCATATAAAAAGTAATAAAAAGCCCAAATGGTAAATCTCTATTACAGTGGACTATACTGCCCTTTTAAAGGCAAAATGCATTAATCAAGCATCTGTATTAAGCTCTCATTTGAATGCCTGCATCCTGATTGCATTATCTCAAGGTTAGCTTGTCCCAAGAATTTGTTAATATCTACATTAATTTGTGGTACATGTATATGAAAACTATAGAGTGCAACATTCGGGTACCAAAAGTTAAAATACCATTCGTTTTCTCCCTAGGGGAATTGATTTTGTAATAACTTTTAAACTACTGTGAGCTTGGAGCCATGAGGTTAATTGATGACATGCTGTTGTTGAAGCCATCAGCATGCTTTATTTCAAATTGTTATTTTTTTTAAATCATGTTTTACAGTGGAATTCTTGGTGAAAAACTACATTACCATGATTTATAGAGACATCTCCAATCAAAAAATTGCACCAAGCAAAAAAGTTGTTTTTGCGCCCATCCGTTCCAATGAAACACTGCATGATAATTGATGTACTTATCTCCCTGCACTTTCACCCCTTATTTACAATTCAAACGTCTGTGGCACGTTACGGCTACAACATGGCTACCGGAGCTGATCACTCTAGGCAATGCTTGTGTTTACACCAGCCACGATGCGGCGCGTTTCAGAAGCGGCCCAGCTTCGCTAAAGATAGCCACCGAGCCTATTTTCGACGAATGCCGCGTCCAAGCCGCACCGTAAATTCAAAATAAAAGTCAAAAAACAGTGTCAATTTCAAAATAAACACGTCGGACAGTCAAATCACGTGGTCTCACGCATCCAGTCGCTTCGCTTCTTTACGGTGCGGCTGCTTGGACGCGGCATCCGTCGAAAATGCTCTTGGTGTGAGTTGGCACCGCGTGAAGGACGGAATAAAACCTTGTCGGAGCCGTAATGCGCCGCAGACGTGTGCAGTGTAAATAAGGGGTCAAACTGCATAATATTTATATATTCATATTTTGCAATTAATGTAAAATATAATGTTTCTATTAGTGCTGGGCAACGATTAAAAAATTTAATCGTGATTAATCGCATGATTTTCTTGCGATTAATCGCATTGTTACGCGCAAAATTGAATAATGAATTCTAAAGTAGTGTATTGCGCACTTTTGATTTAAATGTACTGCTACAAAAGTGCAATAACATGTGGTTTGCAAAAACTTTAAACAAATAAGGTGCTTTTATACCAGCAGTATTCCCTTTACACAGTATCAATAAAATATTTCTTGTAAATCTCACCTTAAACATTAATGTAATCAAATCAAATATTTAAACAAAGCTATTTGCCACTGCCAGGGCATTACCTTTTATCTAGCTTGTTAAAAGAGTCCAGTTTTCTTGTTGTTGTTTTTTCTGAACAGGTATCTTGTATCAGGGAGCAGCAGAAACAGTCTATGTAGTCAAAGGGTCATGATCACTACTACAGAAATAAGTCGACCAACGTTACTTCTCTGATAGCAGCTTAGGTTTGGTCATGGCATGCCATGGCATGGTTTCCCATGTAAGATTACATTAAACATAGGTAAAGTCAATTTATACTTCTGCGTCGAACTCACGCCGTAGCTGTGTAGCGCGCGTACCCTGACGTGCATCTCTCCAAAAATGTAACGTCAATTCTACGCGTACCGCAAGCGCTGTGATTGCTAGAACCGCTCCCCGGGTTTCACACTCTCCCTCTGCATGTGTAATTGCGCGTCAACGCGGACAACGACGCAGATATATAAATGAAAACCAACGCGTGGTCTATAGCGTAGAGGCTCCGGCGTAGGTCCGAGCAGAAGTATAAATCAGCCTAGAGTGAGGTGAAGTGGTCGAGCACAAGGTGCAGCGACAAGCGGGTGCGTTCCTGTGAAACTGTTGCGGTCATGCTCGCCTCACGCACGCGCCCGCGCGTTGCCGAAGTTGAATTGTCTAACTTTGAAGCGCAGCACAAATCATTGGAAGAGAGACTGATCCTCGGCTCGCTGTTTGTGAGTTTCCAGAATCTAAATAGTTATCAGGACATCAACAGGAGGGAATTCACATGGCAGAGCATCCCCGCTAAACTAAACGCAGGCCTATCAGGTAAAGTTATGTATAATTTTAATTTAAGTTAAGAAGGCTACAGCTGCGTAGCGCACAGAAGCCGTTGCCATGGTTACTATCCATAGAGCGCCTGTCATTCACTCGCGGAGCGCTGTCTCCCTTTCTGTTCACCTGAGAGAACCTGCCAAAGCCTCTCCACTGCTTGTTTGGGTGGGTTATTTGCTGGCTGACCAACATCCCACCCCTCCTGTGATCATGGTTTGACTGTAGGCCTATGTGTATTCAGAGCCAGTGAGCAACGGACTTTCAAAATAATAATAAAAAAAAACTGCGTTAACGCGCGATAAAAAAATTGTCGGCATTAATTAATAAATGCGTTAACGCGATAATAACGCGTTAACTTGCCCAGCACTAGTTTCTATATACACAATCAAATTCGTTTTGAATTTATTCATCATTTTTAATATCAATAGTTCTTTCCCCACGTTAAATCCATTATTGTATACAGTTATGTATCTTTGTCTTTTTTTTTGTACTATTTTCAAGTACTTTTTTGCTAATCAATGTTTGTAATGTTGTGATTCACCTCGAAGCTGGGTGGTTTGTCTCATGGCTTTTAACTCTTAAGGACTTTTTAAAAATCCCTATGGGAAAAATGAATGGAAAAAATACTTCAAGGCAGCTGAAAAAGTGAATAGGCACTGTTGCACTCTATTAAACTCCTGACTGTGCAACCGTCTTTGATTCTGTACTTCCTTTTGAATAATTATACGTCAGTTGTGTTGTTAACCAGCTGCATTAAATGAAAAAGAGCTGTTTGTCAAAAACAACATACAATGGCTTTCACAGAAGTTTCATACAACTCAGCCATTTTCTTTTTTGGCTCATAGTAAGGTTAATACCATGAAGCATTAACACAAGGGGAAGCCAGTTTGATCCAGCTTTAAAGGGCTTTGTGTCTAGGGTTATTTAATTTGGCTGCTTTCTCTCTCATGCCACAGCAGAGCACACTAAGCCCCTCGTCTCGGTCTCCGGCCCCTTGTCTTTGGTTCAGCTGTCACAAAAATCATCGTATCTTTCAGGTGCCTGTTATTCTGGAGCTAGAGGTCGCCATGCACCAGTTACTTCGGCAGCGGGCGTCCCGTCTCGTCCAGAGAAGACAGGATGATATTAAAGATGAATCGTCGGAGTTTTCCAGCCTTTCAAGTCAGTCCATCTTGAAGGTTTTTATTTGAATGGCTTCATTGTTTTTTTTTCCTTTCCATTTTTGTTATACAGTTATGATTAATTGCACATCAGAATAATACACACACTGTGTGCGTGTCTATGTGTGCGTGTGTGTGAGAGAGATTAAGAAAAATTAAAGTGTATGTGGCTTTCGGATGGTGAAAGCTTACTTGCTTCTTATTTATCAGTGATCACACTGATACATTGTTTAGATGCTGAGCAGGTAAGTGATTAGAGGAGAGTTTCCATCTCAGCCCAGTGAAATTGAGCAGGTGTAAAATTAACTTGTAGTTGGAAATTAGTTCTGATGACATCAGAAAAGCGGAAAACCACTGTGCATGAAATTAAAATTACATTTTTACTGACGTTTGTGGAATAATGCATGAACATCTAGTACGATATATTAATGAGTAGGTAATGACTATTAGATCTGTCAGTATAGGTTGTAACAGGGCTGGTGAGTTCAGCTTTACTGAGGGTTAATGTCTGTTCTTTCTGTTTCAGGTAAGGCTGTTATGGCCCCTAACCTGGACTCATTCGGTCGAGATCGCACAGCCTATCAGGAGCTTGCCAAGCAGAGGAGGATAGCTGAAAGAGAAGCCAGACGGTATGCAAAAGACCCTTGACTATTAGTGTGTGAAATACACCCTCTAAACTAAAATAATGCATTAATTTATTATTGTTTTATTATTTATTTTTATTATAACTTCTTTTTATTTTTTTATTTCTTTGTTTTATGTTTATATGGAATATTTGTATATTCCAAATCTAGTAAGAATGTTCTAATCTCATCAGTATCATTGTCATTAGCTTTGAATTGTAACCTGTAATGGCCAAAAATGTTTGGAAATGTGCAAAAGTGAGTGTTATAGTCACAATGTCAGTCAGGCAGACCGAGGAAGTGGGCCTTTTAACACTGTAACTGAAATATTTATTTTTAAACTAATCGAATCAGGTCATAGTGAATCTGAAATAAATTGAATCAGAAAATCTGCATCAATTCCCAGATCTACTTTAGGCAGACTTTCTGTGATGTATTTCAGTTTTAATAATTGTCAGTCTGTTTCGACACATCCAAACAGAACCCGTCGGAGACAAGCTCGAGAGCAGAACGGCAAGAGAGCCGAGCATAAGGAGGGCCTGTCTAGTGATGACGAAGAGACGTCCACTGACATCACCAGCTACAACCTAGAGAGAGGTGACCAACCTTACACATACCATTACAAGATTGGCTTTTGCTGATTATGTTTCAATCTTTTCCCGATTAACCTTTTCATCTTTTTGATTTCCAGATCGCATTTTAAATGAGTCAAAGAAGGTTTTTGAGGACGTGGTGGAGGATTTCCACTCTCTGGACAACATAAAGTCTCACTTCGAGACCTGGAGAAAGCTGTATTTTACATGCTACAGAGACGCCTACATCGGACTGTGCCTGCCCAAACTCTTTAACCCCCTTATTCGACTGCAGCTCACCTCATGGTCTCCATTTGAGGTACAGAGAGCATGTAATTTCCACATTTTTGTGATCTGCTTTGCATCGTCTAAACATTTTAGTCTTTAATTGCCAAAATGATGCTATTTGTATCTATGCAGGTGGAGTGTCCCAACTTTGAGTACATGCTGTGGTTTGAGTCTTTGCTCTTTTATGGCTGTGAGGAGCAGAGCACTCTAAAGAAAGAGGAAGAGATAGATAACAGCCTGCTTCCTGCTATCGTAGAAAGAGTGCTTCTTCCTAAACTAGCAGGTTAGTCTGTCCATTTCCCATCTTTGTAAAGGTTCAGTTCTTACTCTAAACTCAGAACAGCATCTCAAACCTAAATCACTCTTTTAAAACATGATTTCTGCCCTTCATGTCACTCCCCCTCAGTGCTGACGGATCAGGTGTGGGATCCGCTCTCTAGCAGTCAGACGTCCAGACTGGTGGCTTTCATGCAGAGGCTGATCAAAGATTATCCCACTGTGCTGCACGGCGACAACCGCAACACACAAGTGAGTGAAGAGATGCGACTGTAACGGATTAGCTACAGGCTCTTATTTTTGCATTTCATTTTCATTAAAGCTTACCATATCATCAAAATTATGGGGCCTATAAATTATTAACATGATCAAAACTTTGCTGTAAAACCTGTTGTACACCATCAACTACATTCTTTTTGTCATCTGTACCACAACTAGTTGATAATTTTTAGCAAGTTAAAGGCCTTTTTGTATAATTCTAAAATCTTTCCTCTTCAGTTTATGGTACATGTGTCTTTTTACTGTGAAATCACATGGGTTTAATACTCTAAACATTAGAATAACTTTTATATTGCTAGTAATATTTCAGGATGAACACTTACTGACCTGAAGCAACTTATTTGTTTTTAGAAAAATAGTTTAGTTTAGTGCCCGGAACTTTGGCTTCACTATACACCACACACAAGGACACCAGCACAACATAACAATATACATGAAAGATATAAAACAATGACATTCCCATGTGTACATATACAATGTATGCATACATATCCACCCCTACTCATATTCATATCTTCTTAACATTTAAAATTCTAATGGCAGTTAAATCGTTTTAAAATGTGAGTATCAAATATAATGCATCAGCCTTTCGAGGTACATTTTTTTTAGATCTCTCAATCATCATTGTATTGCATTACATTATATGTTTTACCCCCAAAACGAAAACTACAGAGCTTTGATCATAAAACTAGGCATTTATATATCATCTTATTTGGTGATCTAGAGTGATGACAGATATTTATATGCATTTTGTATGATATACTGTTATAAATATATCACTGATATATATTTCAAGCTTTCAGAATTTCATCTTACTTACTGGCCATATAAATATCGGCAACCGCACCAAATTGCATATTTTTTACCTCAGTTTTTTTCCGCCATGCGTATGTTCTACATATTCTCCTATATCATACTACGTGAGCCATAAAAGTCTGATGCATCGCATATGCAAACTTTTTTTTTTAAGGGGTCATATAATGCCATTTTTGTACAAGCTAATATGAATCTTTAGGGTCTAAATTAAAAGTTTATAATATACTTTAATTAAAAATTCTCATTAGTATTGTAAGAAAACACTTATTTTACCTGGTCAAAAACAGCTCTGTTTTCAGCAAGCCGTTTCAGTGCATATGACTTTAAATGATAATGAGCTTTGCTCACCCCGCCTCTTTGTTCTGTGCGTACACCGTTTGTAACACAATAACCATAATGCGTTGTTCATTATAGACGTGGGATTATGAATTATATTGAGAACGTCGTACATAGAAAACATGCCGTAATGTATCCTGAGTGAAATCCTTAGGCGCATTCATTGTGAAGCGTGCAGCCAGCGATTTGCAAAGATTAATATAAATATTAATATAAAGGTTAATAAAACGTTACACTCACTTCAGTTGTTCTAGAGGTGCAGCAGGAACACGAATATCTGGTACTGATCCTTTTTTCATGAGCAGCAAAACCAGCTTTATACTGACCCTCGTTTATAAAGCAGTCTGGTGAGAAATGATTCGCGCAAACATGAGAGCATTGACGTTGCTCGTGGGGAATATTCCCTTCGAAAACAAACTCAGCCACTGCGTCTTCAGCGGTTCGGATTTAGGAACATTAAAATGACTGCTGTGTTCGTTATTACACCCAAGAACAGAACACCACAATCGCTTAGACGCCATTCTGCTTATAGACAGTGCTCCAGCATATCAACAATGACCGCGCCGGTCCGCACGGACTATGATTGACTATGATTGAAATGCTGCTGTCAATCAACAATCGTGGGAGGGGCTTCCGACCGTGTGACGTCACACGGTCGAACGGCTTGATTTGAGACGGGAAAACATATAAGGAGATTTTAAAAAAAAACACTGGATGGATTTTTATCATTTTATGATGGTTGTGTACAGGCACTGCCAAAACACATTTCAGTACAATCAACTTGTAAAAGTGCATGTTTCAATTATTTGACCCCTTTAAGGATTTAAAAAAAAATATTATGTCTAAAGGCTCAAACAACTTTCATATGTCAGGATTTACAGGCTTAAATTATTAGTTGCATCTGATTGTCATTGAGAAACAAAAATCTAATATCTTTCAGGAGCTTCTAAGGACCATAGTCATGCGAATTCGACGGACTCTCGATGATGACATTTTCCTGCCTCTGTTTCCAAAAAAGTGAGTGAAGGTTGAATCACTCATGTTGTCACTGTTTGTATATGCTGCTCTTTGTATGTATCTTCTAGATTCTGATTGTGACCGAATATATTGTGTAAACTGATAGTGTGATGCTGAAAATGTTTTGTTTTCTCCTCTTACAGTGTCATGGAAAACAAGAACTCTGGTCCTTACCTCTTTTCCCAGAGGCAGTTTTGGTCTTGTGTAAAGGTAAGTCTAGTCATGCTTAAATATTCTGGAGACTTTCTGTTGTCGTCTAAATCAGTTCATCTATATTTTTAGTTACCATTGTTCAAGCTTATTCTCTGCTGAATCTCTTTCTTGTGTTCAGTTACTTGGGAATATCTTAATATGGGACGGGATCCTGTCTCTGTCAGCGCTGAAGGAGCTCGCCGTAGACAGCACACTAAACCGCTACATTCTCTCAGCCCTGCAGACCACAGACGCCAGCGAGGAACATGTGGAGAAATGCCGCAGAGTATGACTTTTTTTGGAATTAATATTCATATAAACGGTGTTTACAGATGAAGTCATTCTAACCCTCTATTACCCTAAACTGCCTTCAGGTGGTGGAGTGTTTTCCTGTGCAGTGGTTCAGCAGTCTGAAAGGACAGCAGACTCTTCCTCAGCTCGAGAACTTCTGCAGATTTTTGAAACACCTGGCCAGCAGTCTGTACCGCAGCTGCGTGGCTGGATCAGACGTGGAGAAGAGGACCGTGAGGTAAAGTGGTTTCTTATGCTAAGTCAACATCTCTGTAGATGCCACACAAAGATATAACAGATATTAACATAGTATAAAAGTATGATAATGGTTTTATATAAAACAGGGGCCTTCAGTGGGAGTCTAGGCCTAGGGGATCTGCCCACTGATTTTAATGAGGAAAAGAAAAATATATATTAAAAAACATCAAAATAACACATTAATTAACATTGGTTGTGTGTATACATATGTTCATATGTTTCATGGTTCCAATGTTTATAAAGTAAAATTAAGATGAAGCATGTAAGTTTATGTATATCAATAATAGTTATTTTAATTGCTCTGCAATGTAAGCATTATCTCTCAATTTTTTTATTAACAGTTCTTGTTTCTCTACATAGGGAACAAATAAAGGATGTGATTAGGCTTCTGGGACGACTCAACGCTTTAGACCACGTGATCGCAGTTGCTTCAGAACATGGCATTAAAGATATAAAGACTCTCCTCGAGAACAAATGAAAAGCAAACCAATGGAACACCTCACTGGCCATTTTTGGATGGACCACACTGTGTAAATACTGTGAATATTGTACATTTATCTGTGTGGCTGAAGGGTTTTCTTTCGAGGCACATTGGTGGACTCTAGTGATGTTTCACCTTCAGGAAACTGAAGGTCACTGATTTGGGTTTGAAGTGTACTCTGCTGTGTTAAGACTTTTGTAGTCCCTTACCTGATGAGGCGTCACTTCTTTTTACTTTTTTTAAACGGATGGGATCTCTTAGTTGGATCTTTTAACTGTCAATCACTCTTCAGTACCTGCAAGAAAATATATTGGTTCTGTACACTTTCCCCTCCCTCAAAGGCTGCAGTTTGAGAGCAGGTTGCATACAGCATATTGTCAACAACGTTCAAAAAATATTTATGCACAGCCATGGGTCAAATGATCCAGCATCTGTGCCCATCTCAAAAACAGAGTTTGGTCTTGCTCATGTGCCAACCTCATCCCTAATTAAACGAACATGACATGCTGGCAAACAAAACCACGTGCTACTTTAATGAATGTACTTATTTTTTGTTGTTTTCCTGAACCTTGAAATGATTTGCATAAATAAAGTGTTAATGATTATTCAGGATAAATTCCTTCCTTATATACAGCGTAGTTGTGACCTCACAATTGCGATTTCACATTTGCAACTTGATTTCTTTAATTTACTTTTTTCTCGTATTTGCAACTTACAACTATGTATCTTTCAGTGCAACTTATTGTAATGGCAACTTTATTTCTTAAAATTATGACTTTCAAAGTGTAACTTTCGTTAATTTTTTCTCGTATGTTTTTACTTGTTGAAACAGCAATTGCACTAGTTATGCAGTAGCACTAGTTATGTTACATGCAGCCAGTTACTAAGGTGTTTGCCAATTTTACTTTATAGTTGTCAGCAATTTCCTCAGGTGTCTAGGTGTGGTTTAGCCTGAGGTAGAAAGTGATACATAATTTGATTCTATAGAAGCAATTTGTTTAAACCCAGCTAGATTTTAATTTTGAGTTTTTATGTATATGTAACTTTGCCGTAAGGAATTGTCTTTTCCTCCCTAGTGGTTTTTCATTATTTTTAGTGGACAGTCACTAAAGGTGTGGAGGCTCCTATTGTTTCTGTCTGGGAGTCTATGGCAGCCCATTAACCCTACGGAGGGGTATTTGGCAGACTGAGAGGTGAGAGTCTGAACTTTGCTGGTGGTTTTGATCTCAAACCCTCTAGTGCCACCAACAGCTCAAAACGGCAATTTTTCTGATCTTGAACCATGTGGTCTAGAAAGGAATCTTTTTTTTTTTCTTTGTTGCTTGGCTTATACGAATGAAAGACCATTTACGCCACAAGAAAATAATCATGCTTTGGTTAATCAATTATGACACGAGTCAAAATTATGAGACACTAAAGGAGTGTTCACATTAGCTAAATTTTGTGAGCAAAGACCATTATCGTTAATAGTGTAGTGATTCATGAAGCACAGCTGACACAGAAGTCACTTCCAAATCAAGCAGCTTTCGGTTGGTCATCGTGACATTGGGAATCTTTTGTCCTAATGCAAAATTCTTGATTGTATGGATTACCGTTCTTGAAATGACTGGAATTCGCCTGTGAAAATTCAATCAATGACAGTAAATGTGACCGCAACTTAAAGGGATAGTTTACCCAAAAATGAAAATTACCCCATGAATTACTTACCCTCAAGCCGTCCTAAGTGTATATGACATTCTTCTTTCAGTTGAATACAATCGGAGTTATATTAAAAAATGTCCTGGCTCTTTCAAGCTTTATAATGGGAGTGACTGGCTGTTTATGTTTTGAAGTCCATAAAAGTGCACCCATTCATGATAAAAGTAATCCCCAAGGCTCTGCGGGGGTTAATAAAGGCCTTCTGAAGTGAATCGATGTGTTCATGTAAGAAAAATATCCATATTTAAAACTTTATTGATTAAAATAACTAGCTTCCAGCAGACGGCCTACGCAAGTCACTTACGCCAAAAGAGTAACACTTGACGATGTAGGAGTAGCGTAAGCTTTGATGCCTCTCGCGGTTCAAACAAACGGCTGGGCAACAAACTCAAGCTCCTCCGACATTTCTCTTTAAAAATTCTCGACTTCTAATTCGTGACTATCCTCTGCGCTTCCGCGTTCATCAATGCGTCACTCATGCGTCATGTCAGGGCTTACTCTTTTGACGTAAATCAAAGCTAGAACGCATCGCTTTGCTTCAGAAGGCCTTTATTAACCCACCAGAGCTGTGTGGAGCACTTTTATCATGAATGGATACACTTTGATGGACTTCAAAACATAAACGGCCATTCACTGCCATTATAAAGCTTGGAAGAGCCAGGACATTTTTTAATATAACTCCGATTGTATTCGTCTGAAAGAAGAATGTCCCTTAAGATGGGTTGAGGGTGAGCAAATCATGGGGTAATTTAAATTTTTGGGGGAACTATTCCTTTAAGTCATAATTATTAGAAGTGCAAATTGATAATGACCTTAATGACATTTAGACTTCAATAATTATTATATAATTGGCTTATCTCATAACTTGGACTTGGTATGCCATACTTTTTACTTTTTTATCATAATTATGAGCTACCAATGCATAATAATATTTTTTTTTCTGTGTGTGTTGGAAATGGGCTTCCAAAAATGCATACCTTATTTACATGATCTGAGATTTCTTATTTTATTGAAAATCTACTTCTTCCAACCACTTCTGTTTATCAGATCTTCACTTAATGTGGCTTAGATCTTCATCATCATATTACAGTTCTGCCATTTTTTTTCTTTTCAAACTAAGCATCCATGTTCGATGCCCTATCAATTTTGTAACAGCGTTACCTATTGAGAAAATGAGGAATTCTGACTCTGTCATTAAATGGAATTTCTTAAAATAATCGTTAATAAAATAATGCACATTACTCAGCGCTAATTTGTTAGGCATACAAAAAGTTTTTTTAAAAAGTTATATTTTTAGTTTAGTCTGCCTCAGCGGTCTAACACCACTCGTCAATGTCAAAATGATCGAAATGGCCAATCAAATCAAAGTAGGCTTTACTGTTAACAGAAACAGCGCGAATTTCAGCGCCAAGCGCGGCAGTTTAGTGAGCGAGCAGAGACTGTTTAAAACGGATATAAATAGCGAAGCATTTCATACATGTCAACTGTTTTGCGATAGAAATGTTAAACGACCGACAGTAGGCCTAATGATGCAAAAAATCAACTTTTTTTCTCAAGCATTTCGATTCGTGTATCGAGTGTGACGAGACACAAAACGGTTTAGGTTTTCAACATATTAGGCATACTATTAGGCATACAAATAAAAGTATCTACATGTAAATTATTGCAAAGTCAAAATTATTTTCCAAAATAATTAGACCTAGAATGTTCTTCACTGGTCTATTTCTTTATGCCTTGTAAAAATTTCAGTTTCTCTCCAGCGAATAGTAAAAGTCGGGAGGAGCATCTACAAAACCTCAGTGAAACCCGATCCATGTACCTTACACATCACAAATGACCCCACACACACACTCACACCACCTGTCAGGAGACTCAGCCCACATAACGACAGACAGAAGCCTCAGCTGGAGGTGGAGGACGACACAATCTGAGGGAAGTTTTCCTGCAACGCAAGTATCACTGGATCCAGTCTGATCTGCGCCGAGACCAGCTGCACGGTAAGACCCAACATCTGTTTCAGCTAACAGTTTCCTTCCCCGGGCGTTTTTATAAAACTTCCATCAGTTATGGAAGTTTATTTGGTCATTACGCTCTTGCTATAGTTATTATTAAAGTGAAAAGTGAATCAACTGGAGGTCCGCGGTAGCACATGGTGGTTTAATTACTTGTATGCAGCGCTCCGTTATCACGCAGGGCAAGAAAACGTGGAACGGGGCGCACGGGGTCTCCCGCCTTCTAATGTGGTCTGTCCTGCAGGGGGAAAGAGGGGATAGCTGCGGACATTAAAAAGGATTTTAGGTTATGTAAAGCTGCCGCTCCTAAAGCCTGTGGTTTAGCTACTGTGAGACGCGAGCTTGCAGCGTTCTGGTTTATTTGTATCGCGTCGAGCGCGTGCAGTATGAACGTTATGGGGTTTTAATCGTAATTTATTATTTTGACCATTATTTTGTCGTTGCACAGTTCCTTTGCTTATTATTTAAATCACAAGAAATAACAACAGACAGGTCATCATATGCCAAAAAACATAAAATAGAAAATATTTTTTTTTTGTTATGGATACGCATAGGCTATTACATGTAAATAAAGTAATGACATGGTAAAATGAAATATTTAAAAATAAAATAAGACTAAAAAATATTAATAAAAATAGAATACTATAAAATAATTAAGTAAATGTGGTTATACTTCACATAAGTCTACTTGTTTTAAATAATAAAATGCAGGAAAATACTTTGTAGGTAAATCTTTTCTATTTATAAGTGATACCGGAGTCTCTTCTTCTAGTAAGAGTAAACTGATCTAAAAGAGCGGCATGTCACCTCATGCCATAAGAGATGCAGTAGCTAGTCTAAAGATATTACTGCCAAAACGATCAAAAACATTTAAACAGACAGTCATTATATATTTTATATTAGAATCATTTTGGATATTTTGTTCAGTTGGTGAAGATTAAAACAGTCTGAGGGTTATACACTTTTAGTGCTGCAAATATATATATATATTTTTTTAAATGGTTAAATAATTAATTTTATTATAAATGTTAATAAACAATGTTTTTTCATTGCTATATGGAAAACATCGCACCATCAACACTGACTAACTCACAGCATGAGCTATATTTATATGTAAACAATGCTCTACCACGTGAAGTTTTCTGTCCAATGGGGCCAGTAGAGGGTCTTTATTTACTACAGCTGAGTCACTATGTGAAATGTTTCTTCCTCAGACGACCAGATGGTTTCTGCAACAAAGAGCTCTTTTAATGCTCCTGATTGTTTCAGTAAGTCCTCGCTGGCTCATTGTAGGACAGAGAAATTATACATTGTCAAATATTTAGTGGCTTTTAGATGAACCTGTTGAATGTTTCCATATTACATAGATCACAGCCAAGAGCATAGAAAACAGCTCTGATGATCTTTGACCGTTTGTAGTATGTTCTTTATTTGCTTTTGGATACCATAGATACTACACTAAAATATTTATGTGTGGGTGCGTGTCTGAATGAATCCCAAACTGATGTTGTTGGCCCTCATAATATTATTACATCCCTTGAAAGGTTTTTATTGTGATGGTGCAATGTGAAGATCACCACAAGAACTAAAATTCTTTATTTATTTGTCCTCTCAAACCCAAAGTAATCAGATAGCATGAGAAATAGCTATCTAGTAGGAAGTAGAAGTGTTTCGCTTCTTTATATCTGTGATTCGCGACCTCATGGCTCATCCTGCAGGTTTTCTGTGTTATGTAAACTAATTGATTTGTATATTTCTCGTAATTTGGTCACGTGTATTATCTATGCCCCCAACATATAACGTGTTACCTGACATCCCACATATAACGTGCTTAAGTGGTGGCCTAGTGGTTTAGAACCTGGGCTGCTGTCATAAAGGTTGCAGGTTCAGTCCAAGGCATGTAATTCAAAAGGAATGAGTGGTTAGCTCACAATCACCCAATTAGGGTGTCTGTTGTCAAATGTGAGTAGCTAGATCCATTTGAAGCAATAAAATGCATTAGAAAATGGTTATAAACTAACCATTAGATTGTCAACATTTATGTTAATATTGATGTTAGACTAGTATATCTTGGTAAAAGGTTTTAATCCCACTTTTGCTGCAATATCTACATTTTTCAAATTATATCATGACTGAGAAATTAAGTCGCAGTTGCCAGATCTGAAGCCACAAGCACAATAAATAACATTGCAGTTACGCACAGTAAATTCATGTTTTTTTCTATAAACATTGCAAAAACTGCAAAAAGGTGTTTAGATGGGGTTATTAATGCTAAGGAAGAGGTAATATTCCTTATTTCTTAAATTATTTAAACTTGTTCCAACAGATGTTAGCACACATTAAAGGGTTTAATTAGTTTACTCAAAAATGAAAATTCTGTCATTTACTCATACTAATGCCATTCCAAACCCATAAGACTTTCGTTCATCTTCAGAGCACAAATGAAGATCTTTTTGATGAAATCTGAGAGCTTTCGGTCTCTTCATTGGAAGCTATGCAACGAACACTTTGACTCTTCAAAAAGTTCATAAAGAGATTGTAAAACTAATCCATATGAATCGAGTGGTTTAGTCCAAGTTTTCTGAAGAGACACTACCGTTTTAATATACAGTATGATGATGAACAGATTTGATTTAGGCTTTTATTCACACATAAACATGGATCAGCGAACAGCCTCTCATTTTGAGGCCACAGACAGACATTTAGTACCATAATCAGTATTTGCATCAAATTTTTGGTCAGTCATTACTCATCAGTAAAACATTGTTTGAAAATTACATATTTATAATATATTTTCATTTCACTTTTATTTTATCAGTCAAGTCACTTGAGAATAGGCTTGAGCGGTAATACGGTAATATCGTATACCGCGGGATCTAAAAATAGCAACGGTATCAGTTTCAATATCGTCATACCGTCATAAAAAAAATCCAATGCACTTATATAGGAGACAAGGATTAAATATTAAATATAATTTATTTAATGGCTAAAAATGCTTATGTGTGGTTGTCATCACGTGACAGTGTGGAGGAGAAAGAGTGGGGGAGAGAGGGGGAAAGATGGCAAGTTGCGCACCGAGTGACCTGGTCTCGAAGAAGAACACGACTTCTGCAGTTTGGCAGGGATGGGCATTTCAAGCAAAAATAATATTTGAAGATCGCCTGGTATTATTTGATTATTATTCGAAAATCGCACCCCTCCACCATATGCACACACACATGCATGTAGGCTACACAGCTATACAGCGGAGCGGTGTGACACTTAAATAGGCTATAAGTAAAAAAAAAAACGTATTTCTTTTCATATTTATGTTTAATAATATAATGTTGTTATTTTTTTATTTCATCTATGTTGATTATATGAAAAGGAAACTGCATGAGATGAATAAGATAGGATGATAAGATGCCCAATATCGGAAAACATTTGGAATGGGTCAGACATGATTTTTGACCACTTATTACATTTTGTTTTCAATTCAATTCAAATTTATTTGTATAGCGCTTTTCACAATACATATTGTTTCAAAGCAGCTTTACAGAAAGTGCATTTCAGAAATGTACATAGAAGAATATAGTTAGTTAATCATCATGTATTAATTTAGGGCATAACATATCGCCGGCGTCGAGTCGTCTCATCGCAGGTGTTGGGGCATCTGAAGTCTCCGTGAGAGGCTTTCGTTTTGTAGAAAGCCTTTCTTTAAAGTGAATTTCGTTTTGTATAAATTGTATCTTAATTTTAATCAATGTTTCATCAACGAATTGCCTGGAGTAATAAATAAAAGCATATATATTAGACAATATAAGCCGGACACGGAGGCACCGGCGCGTGAACTGGAGCGCGTCTCCTAAAAAAACGAAACTCAGCGTATAAGATAGATGCCTTAAATATCTGAGAAGTGTATATATATAGTAAGCTTGAAATGTCTACTTTTAAACAAAACAATTAAAAACTAAAAGAAATGGGCTGCTCTCTGTGTAGGCTAATTCATATGAAGTGTGCATTTCTCTCTATGCGTGTTCACTACTGCGAAGATGCGAGTCTTCATCGTAAACTTTATCTGTGCAGCCACTGACATAGAAAGTTTTTCATTAATAAACAATTCAAATGTTTCATGCATTATAATTACTTTTGCCGGTTCTTTGTGGCAAGCTTTATGCGTGCTTTGAGATGCAGAATAGGCAATATATTACGAAAACGCTCATTATGGTTTAGCATTCTCTCCTATATATATTTAAGTAATTTAATCAATATAAATATGTGATTAGACTAATGGCTTAAATCAACTACTACTAGTCAACTAGAAAAAAAAACCTTTAGTCGTGCACGGGCAGCCCTACTTCACATGTTTTCTAACCAGCATGTCACTGCGGGCGTTCTGAGCGCGCGACGCTGAGTGGACTGAGCACGCGGCGCGGGATCTTCAGAAATGCGCTCTCTGCTCTGGAGGAAATATTACCACTCCGCTCGCATGCTCTGGTGTGAGACAATGTGCATCTTCTCCTGTTGTCTGAGAGTTGATTGACAGCTTTTAGATGCATTATTGGCATCGCCACCCTCTGGTTGAACGTGTCACCACCGCATCAGAACGGAAAACATGGGGATTTTTTTAGACAATAATCCCACAACCTATTCCATATTCTATAATAAAATCAAATATTCGAAAATTGTGACTCATCCCTGCTCAAACCAACAGTTTGGTGATGCCTTCTGAGCCTTATGTCATAATTTTGAATTATCACGCGGTAATACCGTATACCGCGGTAAAATAGGGAGGAGGTTTGACGGTATCAAAATTTGGATACCGCCCAAGCCTACTTGAGAACAAATTCTTATTTACAAACAGCCTGGCTTAAATATTTAATATGTATATAGGTATTTAATATATATAAAAAAAAATGGACCTGCCACCACAGCTGGAAAAAATCCTAGAGGAAACACTGTATTAATGTTTGATTAACTTAGCCATATAAATAAATATATACAGT